CCTTATACCCAGCAATAGCTTCTTCGCCTTGCCCTTCTGTTTCTCTTACCTTTTTTCTCCAGAGTCAGGGGCATATGGTCCTTCATGCCCTCCCTAAAGAACATAGGGCCCCTTTACTGCTTCACTGAGCAAGTTATCTCTGCAGCCACTTATCTCAAGTGTTTTGCTGTCACTTTAGTCCACAGCCATCTGGGTAGTTCTTGCTATCCAGGAAACAAAGGGGCCTTCTCTGGTCTCTGGAGTAGGAACTGTAAGTTAAATGAGTTACTGTAGGACTGGGGTCTTGCACACAGGATACTATTATTACAGCTGGGTGTGATGGCTCAAGCCTGTAGTCCTAACCACTAGGGAAGCGGAAGACTGGGAGGATTGTGGTTTGAGGCCAGCCTGAGCAAAAAGTTCTCAAGACCCTGCCTGTTATCCCAGCTATGTTGGGACGCTTAAGTACGAGGATCATGGTTCAGGCCAGCCTGGGCATAATGCAGGACCAAAGCAAAAAAGGCTGGTGGCATGGCTCAAGTGGTAGAGTGCCTGCCTAGCAAGTGCAAGGCCCTGAATTCAAGCCTTAGTCCTAGGGGAAAAAAAAAAAAAAAAAAAGAGTACTCTTGCTGCTTTGGAAAAGAGTATAGTGTGAAAAAGTCTTTCCCCTTCCCAGTGCAGTTCAGTATGAATGGGCCTTGGCTTCCATTCTGTATGTGTGTGTGTGTGTATGCATATGTATATATGTATATATAACTTGAGGAAAAAAATTGTACAAATTTACAGTTCTGATACATGTGTATAATAATGATCAAATCAGAGTAATTGGCATATCTGTCATTCAAACATTTATCATTATCATCTCTCTCTATCTCTCCCCCTCCCTCCCTCCTTCCCTCCCTCCCTTCTTCCCTCTTTCCCTCTCTCTCACCACCCCTTCCCCTTTCTCTGCTAGGAATTGAACCCAGGGTCTTGTGTACATGTTAAGCACACACTCTACAACTGAGCTACACCCTCAACCTATTTTATCTTTGGGCTGGTAACATGTAGAATCTTCTGTATGGGCTATTTTGGAATATTCAGTTATTGCTAACTATATTATCCTACTATGCTATAGAACATTAGAAGTTATTCCTTCTATTCAGCTACACCCTGTACCTTTCAACCATCCTCTCTTCACCCTTCCTGTAGGCTCTGGTAACCACTATTCTACTCTTTACTTCTTTGAGATCAACTTTTTATTGTCCATATAAAGTCCACATAAGTGAAAATGTGTGGTATTTGGCTTTTTGTGCCTAGTTTCACATAACATTATGTCCTCCAATTTGATCCATGTTATTGCAAATGACAGAATTTCATTCCTTTTTATAGCTGAATAATATTTCATTGTGTATATATACTACATTTTCTTTTTTTTTGTGGCGGTGCTGGCAGACACATCCACATTTTCTTTATCCATTCATCTATGGATACATACCCAGATTGATTCCATATCTTGGGTATTGTGAATAATGTTGCAATAAACATGCATGTAACTTGTCTCTTTGACATACTGATTTAAATTTCTTTGGATAGCTACCAACCCAGTGGCAGAATTGCTGGATCACATTATTTCTAGCTTTTTGTTTGTTTTAGACAGGGTCTTGCTATGGAACCTAGTCTTGCCGCCAACTCTCAATCCTTCCACCCTCCCAAGTGCTGGGATTATAGGTTTATACTACCATACCTGGCTCTATTTCTAGTTTTTGAGGAACCTCCATACTACTTTTCATGGTGATTGTACTAATTTACATTCCCACCAACAGTATGTTCGGATTCTTCTTTCTCCACATCCTTACCAGCATTTGTCTGTTAGTCATTCAAACTGGGATATCATCTCACTGTAGTTTTGATTTACATTTCCCTGATAATTAGTGATGCTGAGGTTTCCACACTGTTTTTTTGGCGGGGGAGGGGTACTGGGGTTTGAACTCAGGCCTCACACTTACTAGGAACACGCTCTAGTAAGGCCACTCCAACAGCCCTTTTTTGTAATGGGTATTTTTGTAATAGGGTCTCATATACTCTTTGCCTAGGCTAGCTTTGAACTGAGATCCTTCTGATCTCTTCCTCCTTAACAGCTAGATTACAGTGTAAGACACCAGCACCCAACAGCTTCCGTGTTCTTGAAGTAGACCTAGAGAAATGAGCATGGGGAGAACCTGGGGACAGACTTCCCTCCCAGGGGGTCTTTGCCCACAACCTTGGCAGATAACCTCTGCCTTTTGTATTTCTATCTAGTATAGAAGTAAGAAATGGGAAAGAGAGTGACTTAAAATATATGGGCAATTTATACCATGAGAAATCTAAAAGTGCCCCTGTCCCACTCTGCTTTCCCACTCTGGGGAAGGGGTTAGGATGGCCAATATAGGGAAGATGATACTAGTTTTCCCTAGATTCTCCCTTTTCTTAAAAATATATTACTTGATAACTATTTCTTACTATGTTTTACTCCTCTGAACCTCCTTCCTACTTTGCTAAGCTCTTGCACCTAGCAAATTTTCCCTGATTGAAGAAGCCAGAGTGTATGAATTTTCACCTTGCTGTAACCCAGAAGTGATTGTCCCCCAGGAAATATTTACCAAGTCTGGGGATATTTTAGATTGTCATGGTTAGGGTGCCGCAGCATCTACTAGGTAGAAGTCAAGGGTGCTGCCAGACATCCTGTAATACACAGGACAGCTCCCACGGCAAAGATTGATCAGTCCGAAATGATGATGAGAAATTGAGAACTCCTGCTAACCCAGGATGTCACATTCTGTCTCTCTCATGTGATCCTTTTTCAGAAGCAAACTGAGGTAGAGTGTTGTCCGGGCACTAGTGGCTCACACCTGTAATCCTAGTTACTCAGGAGGCAGAGATCAGGAGGATTGTGGTTTGAGGCTAGCCCTGGCAAATAGTTTTCAAGGCCCTATCTCAGAAATATACACCACAAAAAAGGGCCGACAGAGTGACTCAAGTGGTAGAATGCCTCGATAGCAAGCGCGAGGCCCTGAGTTTGAACTCCACATAGAAAAAAAAAAAAAAAAAGTAGATGTCAGGTGCCTGTGGCTCTAATCCCAGCTACTTGGGAGGCTGAAATCCGGAGGATTCCATTTCAAGGCCAGGCTGGTCAGGGGGTTTGAGAGACCCTATCTCAACCAATAGCTAGGTGTGATGGTATGCACCTGTCATCCCAGCGACAGGTGGAAACCTAAAATAGGCCAGCCTGGGCAAAAAGCAAGAAACTATATCCAAAATAACCAGAGCAAAAATGGCTGGAGGTGTGGCTCAAGTGGCAGAGCACCTGCCTCACAAGTGGAAAGCCCTGAGTTCAAACCCCATTACTGCAAAAAAATAAAAAAATAAACTGGTAAGAGAATTATGCCCTAAGTTGAGTCATAGACTTTATGTTCTCATTCCACCAACAGAATGTTTATTCTTGAAATAAAATAATCATTCTTGCTGGGTGTGGTGGTGCACATTTGTAATCCTAGCACTTGAAAGGCTGAGAGCATTGCAAATTTGAAGTCAGCCTGGGCTATATTGTGATATCTTGTCTCAAAATGATAATAATAAGTTATAGTAATAATTATCATTTTTTTGGCACCCAGGGCCTTATACTTGCTACACAGGCACTCTACCACTTGAGCCACTTTGCCAGCCCTCTTTTGTAATAGGTATTTTCTTTTCTTTTCTTTTTTTTTTTTTTTTTTTGGTACTGGGATTTGAAGTCATGGCCTACACCCTGAGCCACTCCACCAGCCCATTTTTGTTTTGTTTTGTTTTTGTCTTTTTCTTTTTTGGTGCTGGGATCAGACCCAGGGCCTCATGCATGCTAGGCAAGTGCTGTACCACCAAGCTGCATCCCAGCCCTGTGTTGGGTTTTTTGAGATGGGGTCCTGGGGTGGCTTCGAACCAAGGTCCTCCTGATCTCTGCCTCCTGAGTAGCTAGGATTACAGGTGTGAGCCACCGGTGCCCAGTGATAATGATTCTGAAAGTACTTGCCTTATTGGATCGTTTTGAGGAGTAAATGATCAGTTAATGCATGTAAAAACATAAGAGTAACGCCTGCTGCACTCATGCTTAAAAACAAAAGCAAAACCTTGTCTCTGCTGTTGTGGGCATGGTAATCTCAATGTGTTTTACTTAAGACTGATAGCAGCCAGAAATGGTGGCACCTGCCTATAATTCCAGCACTCAGGATTCCTATGCAGGAGGATTGTGAGTTTGATGCCAGCCTGGGTTATAGGGAGACCTCTCAATAAAGAAAAAAAAAATTATAGGAGGATGCAAGGGCAAAGGGATAACAGGAGCTAGCCCTCCTTCCTGAGATTTCTGACTTATCAGCAGCTGGATTCCAAAGTGTTAAAAATAAAAACTTTGAGTAGCAGCAACTGTATCTGAATCTGAACTGTGATCTGAATCTGCTTGTTGAGTTGTCAGAGGTGTTTGATTATATATGGTTATCACTGAGGCGTCTCAGGGTAGACAGAGTTTTTCTAGATAATAGACTAGATCTTATTTTTACCTCTATTTTCAAAGCCTCTTTGCTTGTTCTCGCGGTTTAGAAATGTAAGGATTATTTTCTCTATTTTGAAAGTGGGGTGGAAGTGTAGCAAACAACTGGTGTTGATTGCTCAAGACTGTGGCTTGAATATATCAGCTACCCAAAAGTTCTACTTTTGACTACTGAGTCCTTAAAGAAGCATAAGCTATAAGGTAATTGCTTACCATTCTTCTGTAAGTTAACATTCAAGGAGACAGTTCAATGTAAGAAGAACACTTTTCCACCAACTAGATGTGTGTGGAATGCTTAAAGACGAGATAAACAGTTTGGCCCTCTCTACTAATTCCCTCATCCATGAAGTGAGGACACATAAGATTATCCTACTTATTCTATGAAGATCAGTGAGAGGATGTGTGTGAAGCCCCACCTGAATGCAAGGTAAATAGAAACAGACAGAGGTGCTTTTGTTAGTTTCCCCTTCTTCTTCTCCAGGAGCCCCAGCCTCTACATGTTGTACTTGGAAATGAAGCCTGTGACTTGGACTCCATGGTGTCTGCTCTCATCCTGGCTTTTTACCTAACGAAGGTGAGTACCTAGGAGCAGGCTCTTAGAACAAATAGATTGGGATTCATGACCAAATCTTACCAGCATTTTTTTTTATTTTTTATTATGTGCATACATTGTTTGGGTCATTTCTCCACCCTGCCCCCCTTCCCCACCCTTCTCCCACTCCCCTCCTCAGTTTCAGGCAGGTCCTGTTCTGCCCTTGTGACTGATTTTGTTGAAGAAAAGACATAAGCATAATAAGAAAAACAAAGCATTTTTGCTAGTTGAGTTAAGGATAGCTATACAGAAGGATTCCTACTATTGCTCTCATGTACCCATGTGTTATGTCCCATGTTGATTCAACTCTAACTGATCTTTACATTGGTTCCTGATTCCCTGCTAGTGATAACCTGTCGTTTTAAGGTTTCTGTATTAGTTCCTCTGGAGTGGGGGATATTAAACACTCTCATGTTTTGGGTTTTCTACCTATTCCTTTATCTCCCGTATGTGCTCTCCCTTTTCTTGTGATCCGAGTCCAACAACATTGCTGCATTTGCCCTAGATCTAAAGTCCGCATATGAGAGAGAACATACGATTTTTGGTCTTCTGAGCCTGGCTGACCTCGCTCAGAATGATGTTCTCCAGTTCCACACATTTACCTGCAAATGATAAGATTTCATTTTTCTTCATGGCTGAGTAAAATTCCATTGTGTACAAGTACCACATTTTCTTGATCCATTCATCAGTAGTGGGGCATCTTGGTTGTTTCCAACACTTACCAGCATTTAGCCTTGAGTAAGTTAAAACCCTTAACTTTGCTGAGCCTCATTATCATCATCTGAACTGATAATATTTTACATTGTTGTTGAAGAGAACAAATGAAGGATTTGTAAACCATAAAGTGATATTCAAACAGCTTTTTTTTTCTTTTTTTTGGTGGGGAGGGGAGCTTAGGGCCTCACACTTTCTAGACAGGCACACTACCATTTGAGCTACTCCACCAACCCTCAAACAGCTTACTGTTGAGTTTCTTATGGGTATCATCGATCCTCTTGTACAGATTAACTCTTTCTTTATGAATTTATACGTCATCCTTATGAAGGGGCCATGCTAATCTTCTCTATATGTTCCAATTTTAGTATATGTGCCACCAAAGTGAGCACCCAGGTTAACTCTTAAGGATTGATAATCCTCTACAGTATCCCATCTGGAAATAGGTCCTTGCTATGTGTTGTCTTATTTTTTTCTTCAGTACTGGGGTTTGAACTCAGGGCCTATACCTTGAGCCACTCCACCAAGCCCTTTTTGGTGATGGGTTTTTTTTTTTTTTTTCATTTTTCTTTTATTATTCATATGTGCATACAAGGCTTGGTTCATTTCTCCCCCCCTGCCCCCACCCCTCCATTACCACCCACTCCGCCCCCTCCCCCCCCCCCCCCGCAATACCCAGCAGAAACTATTTTGCCCTTCTTTCTAATTTTATTGTAGAGAGAGTATAAGCAATAATAGGAAGGAACAAGGGTTTTTGCTGGTTGAGATAAGGATAGCTATACAGGGCATTGACTCACATTGATTTCCTGTGCGTGGGTGTTACCTTCTAGGTTAATTCTTTTTGATCTAACCTTTTCTCTAGTACCTGTTCCCCTTTTCCTATTGGCCTCAGTTGCTTTAAGGTATCTGCTTTAGTTTCTCTGCGTTAAGGGCAACAAATGCTAGCTAGTTTTTTAGGTGTCTTACCTATCCTCATGTCTCTAGCTTTTATCATGTGCTCATAGTCCAGTCCCCTTGTTGTGTTTGCCCTTGATCTAATGTCCACATATGAGGGAGAACATACGATTTTTGGTCTTTTGGGCCAGGCTAACCTCACTCAGAATGATGTTCTCCAATTCCATCCATTTACCAGCGAATGATAACATTTTGTTCTTCTTCATGGCTGCATAAAATTCCATTGTGTATAGATACCACATTTTCTTAATCCATTCGTCAGTGCTGGGGCATCTTGGCTGTTTCCATAACTTGGCTATTGTGAATAGTGCCGCAATAAACATGGGTGTGCAGGTGCCTCTGGAGTAACAGTCTTTTGGGTATATCCCCAAGAGTGGTATTGCTGGATCAAATGGTAGATCGATGTCCAGCTTTTTAAGTAGCCTCCAAATTTTTTTCCAGAGTGGTTGTACTAGTCTACATTCCCACCAACAGTGTAAGAGGGTTCCTTTTTCCCCGCATCCTCGCCAACACCTGTTGGTGGTGGTGTTGCTGATGATGGCTATTCTAACAGGGGTGAGGTGGAATCTTAGCGTGGTTTTAATTTGCATTTCCTTTATTGCTAGAGATGGTGAGCATTTTTTCATGTGTTTTCTGGCCATTTGAATTTCTTCTTTTGAGAAAGTTCTGTTTAGTTCACGTGCCCATTTCTTTATTGGTTCATTAGTTTTGGGAGAATTTAGTTTTTTAAGTTCCCTGTATATTCTGGTTATCAGTCCTTTGTCTGATGTATAGTTGGCAAATATTTTCTCCCACTCTGTGGGTGTTCTCTTCAGTTTAGAGACCATTTCTTTTGATGAACAGAAGCTTTTTAGTTTTATGAGGTCCCATTTATCTATGCTATCTCTTAGTTGCTGTGCTGCTGGGGTTTCATTGAGAAAGTTCTTACCTATACCTACTAACTCCAGAGTATTTCCTACTCTTTCTTGTATCAGCTTAAAAGTTTGTGGTCTGATATTAAGATCCTTGATCCATTTTGAGTTAATCTTGGTATAGGGTGATATACATGGATCTAGTTTCAGTTTTTTGCAGACTGCTAACCAGTTTTCCCAGCAGTTTTTGTTGAAGAGGCTGCTATTTCTCCATTGTGATGGGTTTTTTGAGATAAGAGTCTCACAAACTATTTGCCCGGGCTGGCTTCGAACCACAGTCCTCCAGATCTCTGCCTCCCGAGTATCTAGGATTACAGATGTAAGCCACCCATGCCTGCCGTGTTGTCTACTTTACCACGATATTATTACTAAGAAGGAGGGAGGCAAGAGTCATCTTTTCGGAGCTGAGGGTATAACTCAAGTGTTAGAGCACATGAAGACATTTTGAGAAAGGTGGTATTTAATGCAAACTCGTATGTCCTTTGGTCCCAATAGTCTTGTTAATTGAGCTACACTCTCAACCCAGTTTTGTTACTTTTTCCTGTCCATTCCAAAATATTGAGATACCTTCTTTTCACTTTCTTATCCAGACAGCTGAAGCTGAGGAAGTCTTTATACCAGTTTTAAATATAAAACGCTCTGAGCTACCTTTACGAGGCGACAACATCTTCTTCCTTCAGAAGGTTCACATTCCTGAGACTGTCTTGATTTTCCGGGATGAGATTGACCTCCATGCATTGCACCAGGCTGGTCAACTCACCCTCATCCTTGTTGACCATCATGTTTTACCCAAGTGAGTACACAGAAATTAAATTGATTCTTACTATGGACCATATTGGACTCTGATGAATGAGATATAAAGAGAAGAAAAAGAGATTTTGCTTTCAGGAATCTCACAGCCTAATTATAATTGATGGATCATATCTGATATGGAAAATCATTAGAAATGATTGTCAGTTCTCCAGCTGTATATATATGCTTATGACATAAAGTCATATACCATAATAAAAAGAAAAGCATGGTGAGTTCAAATTAAAGAATAACTCAAAAATAATTTAAATCTGCCTTTAGTATTAGTTTAAGATTTCATGGCAGATTTATTACAATAGAAACCTTTAGAAAAATAGTTGTTACAACTCTTATTTTTAAAAGTTAGAAGTAATTCCTACATAAACTCTTGGTGACTTTAGACTAATATGTTATAGTAGAGCCTATAAACATCTCATTCACATCTGTTTAACAAATGTGCACATCTATAATACTACTACCCCTAAGTTAGGACTGGAAAAAGCTGCCAAAAAAGCAGCATGAGTACAAGATTTGCCTAAGTCTGTCTGGCTCTTGATATACTTTTTCCTTGAGCATATTGTGGCTGAAGCAAGAAATAATAGAGTTGCATAAGAGCATCAGTGCATCTCTGAATTCACTCATTAATAAACTTTTACATAGAGCATGAAAGTGAGACAGAATCCTTTTCATGAAGCTTTCAGCCAAGAACAACTAAGCAAACAGATCATTATGGGTGTTGGAGGCGAGTGGTAACTATGACTCTAAGGGGACAGTATGTACACGATGGAATGTAGATGGAGTGATTCATTATAACAGAGTGGAATTGAGGACATTGGGAAAGGTTTGGTACCAGAATTAACCTTTTATCTTAGTCTTAAAAGAGGACTAGGTGTTTGCTGTCTAAGGTTGCTTAAGAAAGGCATTCCAGGCAGAGGGAGTAATTAATAGAAGCAAAGTCAGGCAGGCATGAAATAGCATGATGAGTTAGGGGAACTGGAATTTGTTTTGTACAGTTGGAGCATAAAATATGAGGGGAAAAAAGAACATGGAAAAATATGAGACTGAAGAGGTCGGGGGGTGGGGGAGGCATATCATGGAGGCCTGGAGGCCCTTCCAAGGAAATGGGACTTTTGTTTTTTAGGCCATAGGAAACTTGTTAATTATATTTATTCCAGGTCTTTGCTTTTTTTTTTTTTTCTTCTCCTGGCACTGGGACTTGAGCTTAAGGCCTCACTCTTGCTGAGCAAGCACCCTACCACTTGAGCCACTTCACTAGCCCTTTTTTGTGTTGGGTATTTTTGAGATAGGGTCTTGAGAACTATTTCCCCAGGCTGGCCTTGAACCTAGATCCTCCAAATCTCTGTCTTCTGAGTAGCTAGGATTACAGTAGCTAGCCACCCATGCCTAGCTCAAATTTACTTTCTTCCAATGATCATTCAGGCAGCTTTGTGAAGGACAGCTTAGGAGGACCCTTAGCAGGTGATTGGTAAGAAACTATTGAAATAGTCATAATGAGTGATATTGAGGGCCCAGGACAAACTAGTAGCAGAAGGCTGGAAAGAAAGGCAAGGATAAAAGCCCTAGGACCTGTGACCTACATGGAATTTGAGTGTTGAGAGAAGAAGCAAGTGAGGTTTTGATGTTGAGTATCAAAGATCTCAATTAGAAAGGAAACCCTAAAGGACAATATCTACCATTTCATATATAATACGAAAGAGAGAGTAGAGAGGAGTGAGGCAGCGATCTACATGTTTGCCTAAGACATCGTACTTTACTGTATGTGAGGGGAGCAGGGAGTTTGGTTAAAAGCAGATGGAGTGCCCCTACCTATATTTCTTTTTCTTTTTCCCCTACCCTCTCTCCTCACAGAAGTGACGCAGCTCTGGAGGAGGCGTAGCTGAGGTGCTGGACCATCGGCCCATTGACCAGAAACATTGCCCTCCCTGTCATGTTGCAGTTGAGTTGGTGGGGTCCTGCGCTACCCTGGTAACAGAGAGAATCCTGCAGGGGGCACCAGAGATCTTGGACTGGCAAACTGCAGTCCTTCTGCATGGTAAGAGTGGCTTTAGGGTTGGGACCTGACTAGTTCCTTTATTCTCACCTCAAAGAAGGGAGAGTGGAAAAGTCTAGACTCTTCTAGCCTAACTATATGCTCTGAAACCATTCAGTTTATACCAAAGGATAGGATTCTTTTGGGGAACAGTTATTCATTTTGTTGGAGAAAATGGAAAGGAAGCACAGGACAACAGACTTTAAAGCTTCCCACTATCTGCAGAAAGAAGCAGTAAACAGACTTTGTTACCTGTTCCACCTGGAAATTGTTGTATCCTTGAATAAATCTCCTAACCTTTCTTGTTCTCATTTTTTCCATTTATTAAAAAAGAGAAAAAGAGCAAGAGAGTTAGACTAGCTGTCTCTTCCAAATTCAAGATTCTTTGATGGAATTTGGCCTGCTCATGAGGTTGTGAAATTTCCAAAGACATGAGATGCTCAGGCTTCCTTTCCACCTTTTACCCATTTCCCTGCCTATGATTTAGTTTTGACTTGGAAGGTCTTACTCAGGATACAGTCACTCGCTATTTCTCTTTTCCATTACTTTTGCCCTGCACATTTGCTCTGTCTTACGTCCATTTAGTTTGAAGGTTATATGTGTCCTAATGGTTGTGAGTGGAGGGTCACAGGATTCAAGTTCTGCTATCTCCCTTCTTCATAGGAACCATCATTCTGGACTGTGTCAACATGGACCCTAAAATTGGAAAGGCAACGCTAAAGGACAACAAATATGTGGAGAAACTAGAGGCCCTCTTCCCAGATTTGCCCAAGAGAGATGACATCTTTGAGTCCCTACAAAAGGCAAAGTTTGATGTATCAGGTATGAAGTACTCACCTGAACTCTCCACCTCCCACATGAGAAATCAGGTGGGCAAACTATGTTCATTTTATATATATATGTATATGTGTGTGTATATATATATATATATATATATATATATATTTTTTTTTTTTTTTTTTTTTTTTTTTTTTTGGTGGTACTGGGGGTTGAACTTAGGGCCTCACACTTGCTAGGCAGGTGTTCTACCACTTGAGCCACTCTGCCGGCCATTCATTATATTTTTGAATGCCATCAAAACAATTTCATAGCATACATAATGACTTAAACTTTATAACAGAGAGCAACAATATATGAGCATATGAGTTTGATCTTGAACTGACCAATCATTTACTGAATTATTCTATTCTGGCTCTTGGGTAGGATGAATATGTTGAGTCTCTGAGGTATGATGGCACATACCTGTGATCCGAACATTTAGGAGATTAAGGTAGAAGGATCACAAATTTGTGGCCTGTCTATGCTAAAGTGAAACATTGTCTTAAAAAAAAGAAAACAAAAAGTTGCTAGGCACCATTGTGAGCCACCTGTAATCTTAGATACTCGAGGCAAAGATCAGGACAGTCTCGGTTGGAAGCCAGCCTGGGCAAATAGTTCAAGAGACCCTATCTCGAAAAAACCCATCACAAAAAAGGGCTGGTAGAGTGGCTCAGGGTGTAGGCCCTGAGTTCAAACCCCAATACTGCAAAAAAAAAAAAAAAAAAAAAAGTCTCAGGTTTAAGTCTAATCTGAGAATATAAATATATAATATTATTTGTTAATATATTTAAATATACTTTATAAATAAAATGTAATGAGGGATAGGAAAGTATCAGAGCGAGAGTTATAGCATTGGTTAGAGGCAGAAGAAACATTTTCTTTTTGTTTAATTTTAAGTATAAAGCAGGAGAGTTTATTGAGATAGAAAAGCATAAAGTGAGAGAGTCGAGCCCCCAGAATTGGGGTGGGGGTTCCAAGAGAGGGTGCCCCTAAAACAAGAGCAATTTTTAGAGTATTTCTTTTGTTTAGTTTTGGCAGCACTGGAGTTTGAACTCAGGACTTCACTTGCTAAGCTGGCATTCTACCACTTGAGCTACTCCACCAGACCAGAAAAAACATTGAGAAGGAAGGAGTATACATAGAGCAAGCTTGAGGCCCCCTGAGTTCAAGCCCCAGTACTGCCAAAAAAAAAAAAATAGAATGCGCATACAAAGGAAGAGAACAAAAAAAAACTTTCATAATCTCCTACTTAGCTACTGTCTGTTGACATAAAAAAGAAAAGAAAGAAAGATAGAAGGAAAGAAAGAAAAGTACTATATATACTTTTAGAAGGTTAAAACAATGGCAGAAAGGGGAAAAATCAGGACTGGAGATGTAGCTCAGTGATAGAGCTCTTATCTAGCATGCATAAGGTTTGATTCCCAACACTGCAGAAAAAATGAGGGATAGGGGCTGGTAGATAAAAAGTAAAGGCCTAAAAGCCTTCACTTTTAGGTTTTTACCCTTCTATACAAAGTCCCTGGTCTGTAGGTAACCACTGTGACTCAACTATTTAAGTAATTCATTATATAATTACATTTCAATTATCTCCTATGTTCAGTGCCCCAGAAACTCTATATTTTTCCTTTTCCTTGTCCTCACCTTCCTGGTGCAGGGACCTTGGGTCCCCTGTCTTAGTTCTAACCTCCCATCTACTTTCGTTTTGTTTGTTTATATTGTTGCATATTTATTGTGCCACTCCACTCACATCTCCTTTCTAGGACTGACCACTGAGCAGATCCTGAGAAAGGACCAGAAGACCATTTATAGAGAAGGCACCAAGATGGCCATTAGTACAATATACATGGATTTGGAGGTAAGAGCAAGTTGTGAGTATGAATAGGAAGGGAAAAACTTTAGTTATGTATGTAACTTTGCCCCTCATTCCTGGCTTACCTGTCTACTTGTCTCCATCTCTATCTCTGACTCCATAGTCCATCATCTCTTACCGTACCACTGTAATAGCCTATGTACTAGTTTTCCTGCCTCTGCTTTTGAACAGCAATCAGAGTAATTTTCTGGGGGGAGGCAAGGGCAGTACTGGATTTGAATTCAGGGCTTTCAGCTTACTAAGCAGGAGCTCTCCCACTTGATCCATGCCTCCAGCCCTTTTTGCTTTACTTATTTTTCAGGTAGAGTCTTGTGGTTTTTTTGTTGGGGCCATCCTGGACCCTGATCCTCCTATTTACACCTCTCACATAGCTGGGATGACAAGCACCATGCCACCACTCCCAGCTCTTTTGTTGAGGTGGAATCTGGCTAATTTTTTGCCCGGGCTGGCCTCAAATTAATCCTCCCAATGTCTGCCTCTCAGGTAGCTGGGATTTCAGGTATGAGTCACATGCCCAGCCCAGAGTGATCTTTTTTTTTCTAATGGTACTAGGATTTGAACTCAGGACCTCACACTTGCTAGGCAGGCACCTACTGCTTGAGCCACTCCATCAGCCCTTTTTTGTGTTTGGTATTTACAAGATAGGAGTTGACTATTATTTGTCCCAAGTTTGGCTTCCAACTGCAATGCTTCTGGATCTCTGCCTCCTGAGTAGCTAGGATTACAGGTGTGAGCCACCATCACCCTGCTGTAGTGATCTTTTAAAGATATGAATTAGGTCATATCTGATCACTCCCCTTTTCTTCTTTTCATTGTGCTTCTAATACAATCTAAAGGCCTTAGCGTGGTTTACTGGCACTATACTTGATGTGACCCCTGTCTTTCTGGCTTCATCTCATTCCAGCCCCATTCTTGCACTCACAGTCTTGCAGGCATACCTGGTTTCTTTCTGTTCATTGAACCATTAAGCTCAGGGCCTTTGAACTTGCTTTTCTCTTTGCAGAGTTGGCTCCTTCTTATCATTCAGGTCTCAGCTTACAAGTATCCTGTTTTTCGAGGTTTTTTCCGACTATCCTAACTAAAGTAATATTCCATGTGTTCAAAAAAAATCTCTAGCTGGTCAGGCATGGTGTCACAAACCTGAAATCCAGCATTAGAGAGGCTAAGGCAGGAAGATCTTGAGCTCAAGGCCGGCCTGGGCTACATAACAAGAGAAAAAAGAAAGGAAAACCTCTAGCAATTAATGTGTCTCATTTTCTTCATAGCAATTGAACACACTGAAATGATCTTATTTCATTATTCTTTATAAAATGTCTGTATTCCCCCACTAGTTTATCAGCTACAGCATAGCAGGAGCATTTCTTTTGTTTCTTCTGACCCTGCTACATACTGGGTGCTCAGTAATGTAACTAAATGAATGGATGAATATTACTTTAATAAAGTAGTTTAATTTCTGGTTCCATATTGTTTAAATCCTTCAGTAATCTTATTTGAACACATATTCTCATATTGTGCACAGCTTTCTACTAAGTACTCTGTAGAAATACTAAATAATTAAAACAAAATAGCATGCCCTTTTCCCTTGTAGTTTATAATCTAGTTTGGGAAGCAACCATAAGAACATAAAAGGCTTGCCTAGTACTGTAACCATAGGACAAATTGACACATTAAAAAGACCAAGGACAGAGAAAAGCCCTAATTTGAAATAGAAGGTTATATTATTCATTAGAGGAAATACTGCATGAGAATTTGAAGAGGAATATAGATTGACAATGAAGAATGAACCAAGTATATATCATCACATGCCTACTCTTATTTTTATGCTGTTTTGCTCTGTTTTGGAGTAAAAAAGTTCTTGCTTGTTTGATCACAAGATCAGGAACCTTGAGGGCTAGAGGTACAGCTCAAGCAGTAGACCATCTGCCTAGCAAGCACAAAGCCCTGGGTTCAAACCCAACTATTGCCTTAAAAAAAAAAAAAAGATAGACAGGCACCAGTGGCTCATGTCTGTAATCCTAGCTGCTCAAGAGGCAGAGATCAGGAGGATTGCTGTTCAAAGTCAGCTCAGGCAAATAGTTGTGAGACCCTATCACAAAAAGAACCTTCACTAAAAATGGCTGGTGGAATGGCTCAAGGTGTAGGCCTTGAGTTCAAACCCCAATACAAAAAAAAAAAAAAAATCTTGAACATGCCACAGTCATATTACATACAGTATTGTGTTTTGAATCTCTTTCTTTCCTTCCTCTGTCCCTCCCTCCCTCTTACACATCCTAAGCACATGCTTAGGCACACCTCTGAGCTTCACCTCAGCCACCCCTCATATTTTAATTCTTAAGGCAATTGTTTGGTAAGTATTATTTCCTTATTTTGTAGATGAGAAAATTTAGTCTAAGAGGTTAATATTACTCCTTGATCATATAACTAATAGATAATAGAGCTGATTTCCAAAACAATTGTTTTAATCCAAAGCCTATATGGTCCCTGTTCTACCACAGTGCCTCCCAACATATATATAACACAGATATCTTTTTTTTTTTCTCCAGCACTGGGTTTGAACTCAAGGCTTCACAAGTGCTAGGTAGGCACTCTACTACTTGAGCCATGTCACCAGTCCTCAATACGTTTTTAATGGAGCTCAAGTTGTTGTTAACACGCAAAGAAATCCTTCATCTGGATTTTCTGTTTACAGTGACAAGGAAGGTCCAGCTATAGCCTTCATCCCTCTCCATTTCTTCCTTTTCAGGCCTTTCTGCAGCGATCTGATCTTCTTGCCAAGCTCAGTACTTTCTGCCAGGCTCACAGCTATGATGCCCTGGTCGCCATGACTATCTTTTTCAGTGCTCACAGTGAGCCAGTGAGACAGTTGGCTATTTTCTGTCCCCACATGGCGCTTCGAATGATGGTAAGTCTCCATCCCTTCCCAATCTAAGACCTTACAGTACAAGCCTGTATGTACCTATGTGTTCAGCTTTGTGCTGTAAGGACCTTTCCTTGTCTCTTAAGTTTTTTTTGTTGTTTTGGTTTTTTTGGTACTGGAGTTTGAACTCAGGGCCTACATCTTGAGCTACTCCACCAACCCTTTTTTTGTGATGGTTTTTTTTTTCAACATAGAGGTTCATGGAACTATTTGCCTGGGCTGACTTTGAGCCTTGATCTTTCTGATCTCTGCCTCCTACGTGGCTAGGATTACAGGCATGAGCCACTGGCACCTGGCTTGGATCTTATCTTTACACAGAGGTTCTTTGACTTGTTTCTGGAACCTTCCCCTTCTGGTTTTTTCTATGTTCAGTACATGTAAAAATCTTTAATCATCAGCATCTAAGAGCAAAAGTGAACAAATGGGACTGCATCAAACTAAAGAGGTTCTGCACAGCAAAAGAAACAGTCACTAGACTCAAGAGACAGCCCACAGAATGGGAGAAAATCTTTGCCAGCTATTCATCCAATAAGGGACTAATATTCAGAATCTACAGGGAACTCAAAATCCTTAATCATATCATTGTTGAGAAAAAGGGATTGCAAACAGAATTAGAGACACAATTTCTGCCTAGAAGAAACTTCAAATCTGGTTAGAAGGAAGTGTTATAAATGTGAAATTGGAACTGTAGTCTTGGTTTAATCATTAATTCCTCACCCCTGAAAATCAGTTATTTTCTTTTTACTCTATTGGCTTGAGAATTAGAGACTCAGAGAGAGGACTGATGATATAGCTCAGTGGTAAAGAACTTATCTAGCATGTGTGAGGACCTGGATTCAATTTCCAGAACTGCCCCCGCACCCCAGAAAAAGAAAAAAGAAACAGATGCTAAACCTTTTCTGCTAGACACCATGCAGGGATTAATCTGTATAGCATGAACTCTGTAGAGAATTGATCAAGGACCAGGTTTATTTTCTTTCCTGGTCTTTCATTTTGCTACTTCCTCCCCCTTCTGTTCATCTGTTGATCACTGATTAGCCTTTAAGAAGATTTAAGGTGGTCCAAGGAGACTTTGGGTTGATTGGAGCATGTGAGGACTGCTAAAGACACACTATATGCTAGGCACTGTGGCTCACACCTGTAATCCTAGCTTCTTGAGACGCTGAGATTGGGAGGATCAAAGTTCAAGGCGAGCCCAGACAAATAGGGTCTCCACAATAACCAGAACAAAATAAACTAGAGGTGTGGCTCAAGCAGTAGAGCCTGTTTTGTAAGTGCAAAGCCCTGAATTCAAACTCTGGTCCCACCAAAAAAATAATAAAGATACACTATAGTCAGATAATCCTTTGTGCATAAGAGGTATATCTGCCCTTTCCCAACTGTTTGCCTTTGTTTTCTCCCTCAGGAAACTAATGTGACTTATTCAACCTAAGGGAGTTTGACATTGAGGAAAGAACTAGTTTTTAAAGGCATTGTGGTGTATACCTGTAATCCCAGCACTTGGAAGGCAGAAGCAGGAGGGTCATAATTTTGAGGCCAGCCTGGGCTACAAAGTGAGTTCCAGGCCAACCTAGACTACATAGCAAGACCGTTTCAAAAAAAAGAAAAAGTAAGATAAAATAATTCAGGTCGACATGCTTTTCTGTTTCAGTTTTCCACATACTTGCCCACTAAGCTAAGACAAGTCAGTTGACTTCTGAGCTGTAAATGGTCTAGTAGTGCCTACTGATTAGTCTGATGTCATTAATGTAATGTGATATATAAAGAGCATCACTGAGCAAAGAAAAAGTGCTTAGAACATGGTGGCTCTTCCTAAACATGCTATGAAGGAAAAGTGCCCTTCTCACTCCTAAAAGGTTGGTGAAAAGTGCCCTCCTATCTTCTAGAATCTAGTCCCCCCTCTGCCACTTTTCTGAAGTTGTGTGGATGTCTGATGGCTCTGCAATTGCCCAAGCTACCTCTGTGCTGGGAAATACAAGTCCTCTTTTTACAGTCTGCCCTACCATTTCCTCTCCTCCTGCTACGTTAGGGGTAGTATAATACTTGACTTAAAGCACTGGCTTTTATGACAGACTTGGGTTCAACTGTCAATTTTGCTTCATACAAACAATGACCGTAGGTAATGGTTAGTTAAAATTAGGTAAATTACCTAATCTATCTTTTTAAAAAAATTTTTTTCTTACCTAATCTATCTAAGTCTTAGTTTCCATACCTGTAAGTGAGGCTAATAATAATACTAATGGTATAAGGATTAAATGAGGTAATATTTATAAACAGCAAAACTTGGCCTTGGCCTATCTCCCACTCTCATTTTGTTCTATTCATTTTCAGGGCCTTCTCTTTGAGCCACTCCACCAGCCCTATTTTTGTGAAGGGTTTTTTTTTTTTTAAGATAGGGTCTTGAGGAACTGTTTGCCTGGGCTGGCTTCAAACCTCCTCGATCCTCCTGATCTCTGCCTCCTGTGTAGCTAGGATTGCAGGTGTGAGCCACCGGTGCCCAGCCATTCTATTCATCCTTTCTGCCTGAGTCATAGGTGCCAGTACAATACTAGCTAAAAACAGAGTTCAAGTCCTTGAGCACAGCAATATATCTGAAAACAACATGAGATTAAGAGCTGGATGTCTTGAGTTCTGGCTCAGATTCTGCCATCTGCATGTTTTTGTTCCAGACAATCTCTCCAAGCTTTGCTTTCCTTATTAAAAAAATATATGATCTAAAATGTTCTGCTTCTTAGCCGGGCACTGGTGGCTCATGCCTATAATCCTAGCTACTCAGGAGGCAGAGATCAGGAGGACCTCAGTTCAAAGCCAGCCCCGGGCAATTAATTCCAAGAGACCCTATCTTGAAAATACCTAACACAAAAAAGGGCTGGTAGAGTGGCTCAAGGTGTAGGTCCTGAGTTCAAACCCCAGTACTGCAAAAAAGAATAAATAAATAAAATTTTAAAAATAAAATGTTCTGCTTCTGAAAAACCGTATGTATTAGAGAAACTGATGCCTATAATCGGAGCTACTCGGGAAGGTGAGTTCAGGAGGATCTCAGTTCAAGGTCAGCCTGGACAAATAGTTCACAAGATCCCACCTCCAACATAACCAGAGCAAAATGGACTGGAGGTAGGGTTCAAGTGGTAGAGTGCCTGCTTTGCAAACATGAAGCCCTGAGTTCAAACTCCAGTCCCACCAAAAAAAGAAGCAAGGACTTAGAAACTAACAGGATTTTTTTATTAATAAAATTTAAAAATAAAAAAAAGCTGTGTATTAGAAGTGTTCCTTTTGTTGCAAGCAATAAAACTGAAGTCTGGATGACTTAAAAATTTTTTTCCTCACTTAGAAGCCTTAGCGCTTCACTATACCAAGTTACATATCATTTCCCATTCTTGTCTCCTCTATAGATCTGTGGAGTCCTGGAACGTTCCCACTCCCCGGCCTTGAAGCTGACCCCTGTCCCAACCACCCTCCCTAACCTCCAAGCCTATCATCAAGGCAACACCCAGGTCTCTCGAAAGAAACTTCTGCCTCTGCTCCAGGAAGCCCTGTCAGCATATTTTGACTCCATGAAGATCCCTTCAGGGCAGCCTGAGACAACAGTGGGTGTGTCCAGGGAACAGGTGGACAAGGAATTGGACAGGGCAGGTAGTTCCCTGATTTCTGGACTGAGCCAAGATGAGGAGGACCCTCCACTGCCCCCAACGCCCATGAACAGCTTGGTGGATGAGTGCCCTCTGGATCAGGGGCTGCCTAAGCTCTCAGCTGAGGCTGTCTTTGAGAAGTGCAGTCAGATCTCACTGTCCCAGTCTACCACTGCCTGCCCATCAAATAAGTGACTTTTGGGAGGGGAGGGAATCATGGGAGAGGTGGCTTGACCAACCTCAAATGCATGCTTTGAGATGTTTGGCAGTTTCAGCAATTGTGTCTTCATTACTCCAGGACCTGGTTCCCATAAAACTGTGATGAGAAAGAAGGGAAAGAAAGCAGCTGCTTTAAGAATGGCTTTCTTGCCTTTTCCTTCCAATCTCTACCAACCAGACAAATTTTATTATTTAATTTTATTATTAAAAATCTGTACTGATTTTCCTCTATTTCATTTGCCAGGGGTACAATGTGACATACCTAGTGTCCCAGTAGAAGGGGACAAAAAGAATGTAGACTCCAAAAGTGCCCTCAGTAAGGATCATTAACAGAATCAATGTCTGTCATGGAGCCAGACATTCATTGCTTGTTTCGATGAATTCATTTATTAATTTTTTCATTCAGGTATTTATTGAATACCTACTTCAAACTAAATAGAAAAGAGAGTTTTCAACCTGTAGCAGATTTCCAGCTCTATGTCTGTTTATTTTTGGTGGGACTGGGGTTTGAACTCAGGGCTTGGTGCCTACAAAGCAGGTACTCTACTACTTGGGCCACACCTCCAGTCCATTTCACTCTAGTTATTTTGGAGATGGGGATCTTGTGAACTGTTTGCCTGGGTTGGTCTGGAACCTCAGTCCTTCCAATCACAGCCTCCCAAGTAGCTAGGATTATAGGCGTGAACCACTGTGGCTGGCTACTATGTCTCTTGTTATTGGCCCCAGTTAGTTGATGATGTTTGATTCAGTGATGTGAAATTTCTATTTTGAGTTTATGTGACTATTTTAGGTCTTGTTTGGGAGCAGATTACAGGCCATTATCTTCTCTCCTGATCAGGTAGCCTGGCTTTCTTTTTCTTTGGGTCTCTGTCCCAGAACCACAGGAACCCTGAAGATCCCTGGTTCTTGAGTTGAGGGTTCAGGAGGCACCCGGGAAATCCTTAAGACCTCATAGCCGTTTTTCTTTAAAGACAGCAGAACTGGAATGAGAACCCTGGGTCTGTCCCCTGCCTTAGAGGCTTTCAATTTCTTGTCCATCCCTCATTTTGTTCATGTTAAAAGGAAGCATGCAGTTCTAATACTACTACCATAAACTTTGTGTCTTTTTTTTTTTTTTGGCGGCACTGGGGTTTGAACTCAGGGCCTCATGCTTGCTAGGCAGGCACTCTTACTGCTTGAACCACATCTCCAACCCTTTTTTGTGATTTTTTTTTTTTTCAAGATAGGGTCTCCAGAACTATTTGCCTGGGGCTGGCTTCAAGCCATGATCCTCCTAATCTCTGCCTCCTGAGTAGCTAAGGATTACAGGGGCGAGCCACTGGTGCCCAGCAACTTTGTGTCTTTTGACAAGACACTTCATTACTCTAGGTCTCATTTTCCCTACCTGTAAAACAGGGTTTGGACAAATGTTCCCTGGTATTCTGTGATCTGTCTCTTGCTATCATCCTTTCTCTCTTCTGCTTCTCTGTATTTTCTCTTTGTTTCCCTTGAGCTCAGGGTCACTGGACTGTCTGTATTTATGTGTGATTGTACCAAGGAACTTAGCCTCATGTAGCATGTACAGAGGTATGTCTCGTACCATAGTGACCCAGCAAAGAGCTCCCTCACTGACTTGTTCTGCATGTGTAGTTGCCCTTTTTTCTTCAATCAACCTGTTCCCCCTTTTCCTACTGCAGGTAAGTTGCCAGCAATCCCACTGAACAGTGGGGTACGTGATAGCTTTGTCACAACATCTGCCAGTGTGAGGGGAACAGTCTGATTTCAATGGTGTGATATCTGTAGCCATTTGGAATGTAAAAATAGTGGTGTGATCACTGAACCAAAGGAACTTATGTTTTGTAACTTAGGTACTTTATTTTGCATTTTGTTAAAGTATTAAATACTTTTTCCTGTTTGGGGTCTTATTGTCTCTTTTTCAAATATAATAAGGCCTTTCCCTTCAATAATTGTTTCAGCCTCCTACAGATACGTCTTCCTTCCTCCCACTATACTTACTATCTTCCATCACCTCTGAGCCTTTCTTAGTCTTTATTTCTTCTCCCAGAATCTTCCTTATAATATACATCTGCCTTCTCAGTTTTGCTTACTCTTGAAAAGTAGGCCAAAATAGGCCCAAAATGGTTTCTAGTGTTGCCTCCCCAACAGCCTCCAGCCCCTTAAAGAGCTTACAGAAGGTTATAAGGAATCTAGAAAGGAGAACAAATTGCCTTGTAGACTCACCCAACACTAGCCACCCTAGAAAATGCACTCCTCCCCAAAACCCGCCCCCACATAGGAGGCAGGGTTTTTCTTTTGGGCAAACCTGCTCCTTGGGAGGAGAGGTGACAAAACCTGTTTGAAGTTGAGGTTACCTCCCTTCCACACCTCCCTCCTCAGAGCCTAGAGTAACAACTGCTGAGACAGAAAGGAGTAAAGAAATACTGGGGGCTGGGACAGCGAGCTCCCCTGCATCTCTTAAGTGTTTAAGGAAGACAGGAAGACTTGTGAAGATGGGAACTATACAAGAGGCAGGAAAAAAGACACTAGATATTGGGTAAGTATGAACTTGACTCACTTGATTGGAACCAGGTAGTGAGGGACTTCCCTAGTATCCAGCCCTCACCAGGTCAGATCTTGGGGATTCCTCTAAGGAAAAACGCTGTAGGAAAATTAATTTGCAGAGACGGGCTAGGGTGGTTTTCAATAGCAAATGTCAGCATGATAGGGAACTGGGGAATGGGATTCTAGGATAATTCCCTGGTGTTTTTTGTTTGTTTGTTTGTTTTAAGGAAATTTATTTTATGTCAGGTAAATCTGCCCAGGTTCTTTATTTTCTAACTTCCATCCACCAGGATAGCCATTAAGAAAGCTGACCCAAGCTGGTTGTCAGTGGCTCACGCCTGTAATCCTAGCTACTCAGGAGGCAGAGATCAGAAGAGATCAAAGCCAGACTTGGCAAATTGTTTGAGAGACTCTTTCTTGAAAAAACCCATCATAAAAAAAGGAATGGTTCAGTGGCTCAAGGTATAGGCTCTGTGTTCAAACGCCAGTGAGAGAGAGAGACAGAGAGAGAAAGAGAGGAGAGAAAGTGAGAGAAAGAAGAGAGAGAGAGAGGAAAGAAAAGAAAACCTAAAACTGAATTTAGGTTCAGGTTTTCCTTCCCAGCAAATCTCTCTCCTTCTTCCCGATCCCTTCACCTATGCCATTTTTCCCCTAGCCACTCCCCAGCATGGTAGAGGAAAGGCAGGCCTGACTAGGTGCCATCTTCTCCAACTTTGCCCATGATAGCTGGGCAGGTCTATCTGGGTTCCAGCCAATTGTAATGTGGGGCATCTCTCACCCTTACGCTGTAGGTGGAGCCACTGCCATAGAGGTTAAAAATCATGATTAGCTGTATATTCCGTCTCCTCTGCTCCTAAACCCAACAGTAGGTGATCTGCTTCAGGCAAGTCATGAAGGTGGAAGAAGCTTCCTCATAGTAGACAAAGGCCTGCCCCTTTGTACCTTAGTCACTGCTCTTCATGCCAATGTCTGCTACCTATTATCCAGCTCCCTCAGGACACTGTCTAGGTTGTCTCACAGTCTTTCCTTCTGGGCGACTTTTTTAGGGAAAAAGCAGAAACAGCAGAATTAAGAGCAACTCTGAGACTCGGGGAACTGGAGCTGAAGGAAGAATGGCAAGATGAAGAATTCCCTAGGTGAGGAAGTGTGAGGGAGGCTGGGAGAAAGGAAAGATTGTCATAAATGGAGGGCAGGGAAAAGAAAATAGGTGATAAAATCATGGCGGGAGAGAGAGCTGATAAATTGATAACTGGCTTGATGCCTTTTAGCCTATATCCTTTTAGCCTGTGTCCCCTTTAAATCTTTTCCCCTCTAGATTGCTTCCAGAGGAGGTTGGCCCTTCTGAGGATACTGAAGACCCTCAAAGAGACTCACAAGCAGGTAGGTAAAGTAGAAACTAGGCCTCATCTTTTTGGTTCTCATTCAATGAAAGGCTATACTACTGCTATCCCTCTGAAGTTCTATTTCCCCTTTTCCAAAATATCTCCTGTCACCCTGCGATAGAGTCACCCTGTATTACTTCTATATACAGGAATTCTAACTACCATCACCACCACCCCAATGTGCACACATCTTTCTGTGTTGTTTTTTTTTTTTCCTCTTCTTCCAACCCCAGGTACCCCAAGTACTTTAGCCCTGTGTGGTCAGCGTCCCATGCGTAAGCGTCTTTCTGCCCCAGAGTTGCAGCTGAATCTGACTGAGGGGCTTGGAGCTTCTCCTACCCACTCTGCATCTTCTTCTTCTAATGGCAGTTCAGATCTGGAGGTAGACGAATTGGAGACACCTTCAGACTCGGAGCAGCTGGACAGTGGACATGAATTTGAATGGGAAGGTGGTAAACAAATCTAAGGACAGAACTGGTAGAAATAAAGGCTAGTATATAAGAAATCTCAGGATGGGACTAATGTTAGAATAGCCAGATGGGGACAAGAGGAAAGGCCAGCAAAGTTAATTTCTTCAGAAGGGAAAGGTAGAGCTTCTGTGAGATAATGTGAGACTAGTGGGGGAGGTCCTTTGTTTATTAAGGAAAACTATTGCCAGTTACATACTGTTATTCAGCTAGAACTGAGGTTTTGTTGTTGTCATTGAGATAGGGTCTCACCATGTAGCCCAGCCTGGTATTAAACTAGAGATCATCTTGCCTCAATCTCCTGAGTGCTGGGATCGTTTAGGACTGGGGTTATAAAGATGAATAAAAGAGTCCCTACCCTCAGGGAATTTTCTGTTTAGTAGGAAATATATTTAAAATAAACATATGTACAAATAATTGCAGTTAAAGGTTAGGATCTACATATGCAAAGAGTACAGAGCAGGGAAGGAAAAGGTCTATTCTGTCTGAGAGATGTTAGGAAGGACTTTACAGAAGAGGTGATCCTGAGGTGAAGTTTGAGAGCTGAAGCAATTGCATGGCAAGTTGGGGAACTGAAAGTATGAAGCATAATTTTTCTTTTTTTTTTTTTTTGGAAACACTGGGGTTTGAACTCAGGACCTCAAGCTTGCTAGATATGCACTCTTAACCGCTTGAGCCACTTCACCAGCCCTAAAGCATGATTATTTTTTACATATGAAAGGCTGGGACGTGAAGAAAAATATTAAAAAATACTGCTGGGTGAAGCAAGCAAAGATCAAATCATGAGAGGTGGCTGAAGGGACTCTGAGGAGGCACTGACTGGCAGTGCCACGGCTTTTGCCCTCTGTGGTGGGGCGGCTCACTTCTCATGGACCTCAGGTTGGAGCCTTTTCTGTCGATGAGGATAATAAAAGTTCATTATTTAAAAAAAATAAAAAGATCAAATCATGAATGTCCTATTCCCATGCTAAGGAGTTTAGATTTTTGGACTGTAGGCAATGGGTAGTAATGGGAAGGATTTAATCATGGCAGTAATCTGGTCACACTTAATGACTCTGTAAAGACTGGAAACAGGTGGGTATGGTGCTGCACATCTATAATCCCAGCACTTGGGAGACTAAGACAAGAGAACCAAGAGTTCAAGGCCAGCCGGGCACAGTGGCTCACACCTGTAATCTTAGCTTCTCAGGAGGCAGAAATCAGGAGGATTATGGATTGAAGCCAGCATGGACAAATAGTTCTCAAGATCCTATCTTGAAAATACCCAACACATAAAAGGGCTGGCAGAGTGATTCAAGTGGTAGAGCACCTGTCTAGCAAGTGTGAGGTCCTCAGTTCAAACCCAGTACTGCTAGGAAAAAAAAAAATCAATCATTAGAGTAATGATTCTTTATGTTGTTGTTTTGCTCTTTTGAGACAGGGTTTCGATATAGCCCAGGCTGGCCTGGAACTCTATTCACCTGCCTTAGTTTCCTGAGTGCTAGGATTTCAGGTGTGTCCCACCATGCCTGGTTAGAGCAGTAATTCTATTACTGGAATGCTAAATACTGTGCTCTATAACTTCTTGTTTTGTTTTTGCTTTTTGTGCTGAGAATTGAACCCAGGGCCTTTTGCCTGCTAGGCAAGTGCTGTACCATCGAACCATCCTAGTCCCATGTAACTGTTTTTAAGATGAGGCAGCTCTTTTTATGCTATGAAAAGATCATGCTAGATGGTAGCTATAGTACATTACCATTTTAGTAAAAAAGGTAGAAGAAAAAAGAAAACTTGCTCTAGCAGTGGTGCTAGGGGGCGAATTGGAGGAAGGCAACCTTGAAGCAGCGAGAACAGTTAGAAGGTTAGTAATAAGACGAAAAATGCTAAGAACCGAAACCAGGGCAGTAGTAGTGGAAAAGTTGACCAAAGAAAATCATGAAGGTAGATGGATAGGGATCTAGGGTTCAGTTGGTTTGAGGGCTGACAGTCTTAAATGACAGAGTTTTCTTTCTCTGGCAGCTAGATAGATAGGATCATTCATCAAGATAGAAAATAGACTGGATGTATGGCTTAAGTGGTAGAGTACCTGCCTACTAGGTCCAAAGCCCTGAGTTCAAACTCCAGTACCAACAAACAAACAGACAAAAAAACAGTCAATATGGGGCAGAGGTCTTAGAGAATGATTTTGAGTTCTGCTTTTGGGTCTGCAACTTGTTGATGACAGGCATTTATAGCTATGGATCTGAAGTTAGGAGAGTAGCCTGAATTACAGACAAATTTTAGAGTCATCACCTTACTGGTAGTAACTGAAGACTTAGGAATAGTTGAGCTCATCTAAGGAGAAGTATGTAAAGAGAGAATATGAGGTAGGTGTGGTGGCAAATGTCTGTAATCTCAGCTACTTGGGAGGCTGAGGTAGGAGGGTCACAAGTTTGAGGCCAACTTGGGCAACATAATGAAAACTCATCTCAAAAGAAAGAAAGAAAGAAAGAGAATACACCCCCAAGGGTTGAAGGTATGGCTTAAGCAGTAGAGTGCCTTGAGTTCAAACCCCTGTCCCACCAAAATAAATAAATAAATAGGTCTACAGAGAATATACCCCAAAGCCATCTTCTAAAGAAAAGGTGAGGATTCTGAGTCTTGGAAGAAAGAGAATGGCGAGGAGTTGAATTAATTGGACAAACTGGTACTAAAGATCAAGGAAAAAAACTGAAGAATGAGAGGCTGGAGTAGTAAACTCTAGGGATCTGGGAAAGTTACAAAATGCTTCTCTACCCCTCTGTTTTAGATGACTTGCCCCGGGCAGAGGGTCTGGGGGCCAGTGAGGCAGCTGAAAGGCTGGGCCGGGGTTGTGTGTGGGATGTGGCTGGAGAAGATGGTCGTCACTGGAGAGTGTTCCGAACAGGACAGAGGGAGCAACGTGTGGACATGACTGTCATTGAGCCATATAAGAAAGTCCTGTCTCATGGAGGTAATGGCTAGCAGAAATGGGCAGGTTAAAAACTATGGCTACTAGACTAAAATGCCTAAGCTGGAGACTAAGCTTGTTGGGTTTAGCATCCTTTCTGTAACTTCCAGAGATCCTCCATATCCCTTTACTTACACAGATGTAGCATCTGTAAATACATATGTGGCCCAAGTGAATTTTCCCCTTACTGGTCCCCAGGTTACCATGGTGATGGACTCAATGCTGTCATCCTCTTTGCTTCCTGTTATCTACCCCGAAGCAGCATTCCCAACTACACTTATATCATGGAACACTTGTTTAGGTGAGATGGAAAACCTTGACGGGCCACAGGGAGGATATTAGGGAGGGAAAAGTAAAAACAAAGTCCATTGAAGATCAGTAGCTGATTGAAGTCTCTGTACTTCGTTCTTCCCACCCCAAAACACCCAACACATACCTTCCCTACAATTTCATCCCCCAGGTATATCGTGGGAACTCTGGAGCTTCTGGTAGCTGAAAATTATCTGCTTGTTCACTTGAGTGGAGGCACAAGCAGGGCCCAAGTTCCACCTCTGAGCTGGATACGTCAGTGTTACCATACCTTGGATCGGCGGTGAGACCATAGCACAAGAGGGTTACAATATTCTACCTTACCTTTCTGTTTCCATCTTTCCCTTTCTTCTTCTTCTGTTTAGCTCCATCTTTTTTCTTTTTCATTTTTTTTTTCTAAGACAAGATCTCACTATATAGCTCAGGCTGGCCTTGAATTTCAGATCCTCCTGCCTTAGCCTCTCAAGTGCTAGTTGGTACATGGATATACCACCACACTCAACTACATCTTTTCTTTGTTCCTTTACAACCCCTTTCCAAGCCCTTCCTGCCTTCTGTCCCCTCTCAGAGTCAGGGCAATCTAGTTTTTTTGAATCTTGTCTTTACCACTTACTAGCAGAATGATTTTGGATAAGTCACTGAGCTTTTCTAGGCCTCAGTTTCCTTATCCATACAATGTTAATACCTTTGCTACTGGGCATTTGTGAAAATCAAGTAAATCAATGTGACATATTGCCTGGCACATAGAAGGCCCTCTTCCTTTCATTTTGACATTTGTTTCATTTTCCACATCTCTATTGTCTTCTTCTCTTTCTTCATCCCTAGTCTACATGTCTTTTTCCCCTATCATGTTCCTTTCTTCTCTTTTGCTTTCTCCATCTTCCCTTTGCTTACATTTCTTCTTCCTCCTTTTTTTTTTCTGGCGTCACTGGGGTTTGACTCAGGGTCTCACACTTGCTAGGCAGGCGCTCTTATCACTTGAGCCTCTCCACCAGCCCTTTTTTGTGATGTTTTTTTTGAGATAGAGTCTCAAGAACTATTTGCCCCGGTCTGACTTCAAACCTTGATCCTCCTGATCTCTGCCTCTTCAGGAGCTAGGATTACAGGCATGAGCCACTGATGCCTGGCCTTCTTCCTTCTTACTGATCTTCTTACATTTGGAGTTTTATAAATAGTCCTGGTCGGAAGCATAAGACCCTGAGTTCAAACCCTAGTGTCACCAAAAAAAAAAAAAAAGTCCTAGTCAAGGAGGGAGAGAGAGAAGCTTGCAAAAGCAACTTATGTGAGAGCAGGGGAAAATGAAGTTTAGATCAGGTTGAAGTATTCTGAAAGATGGGTTTCTTAAAAATGAGGAGAATGGAGGGCTGAATAACATGGTATAGCTGAGACTGATGCTAAAGGAATGGGGTTTAAACCCTGCTGGAGAAATCTAGAAATTAAAGGAGCCAAGTAGTTTGCAATATAGAAGATAGCTCCACCTGATCTTTGGGAATGGAGGTACAACAAGGAATAAGATGATCTCATCGTGTTCTTTAGACTCCGGAAAAACCTACGAGCCCTGGTGGTTGTCCATGCTACATGGTATGTGAAGGCATTTCTGGCACTGCTTCGACCCTTCATCAGGTACTAGCTCTGGGGACAAGGACTTCCCCTTCTTATTATTTGCCCACCCTGACTCATGCTAGCCTTAAGCACTCTACTTGCTACATTTCCCTTTGTTTGATGGTACTTGGGTTTGAACTCAGGGGCCTTGCGCTTGCTAGGCAAGCATTCTCCCACTTGAGCCACACCTCAGCCCTTGTTTGTTTTTGAGATAGTCTCACTATACAGCACAAGTTGGTCTGGAACTTGCCTTAGCCTCCTGAGCTGAGTGCTAGGATTACAGGTGTGCACCAGCACACACCTGTCTTACATTTCCCTTTATAAGGGTCTCCAAATAGCATCCTCCTAGTACAAAACATTTTTGGTTTATTCTCTTTTCAGTTCCAAGTTCACACGAAAGATCCGTTTTTTGAACAGCCTGGGGGAGCTGGCCCAACTCATCTCCCTAGATCAAGTCCACATCCCTGAAGCTGTCAGACAGTGAGTCCTGCACTTACCGATGAAAGTTTGGGATGGGATGTATAAAGCTATTCCCCTCTTTCTTAATACCTTGAGGGAGATACAAAGGAACTAAAAGACAGAGGCCCTGATTTTAGGTGCTTCAGTGTATCTGGGAAAACTTCATAGACCTAGAGAACAAATTAAGGCTAACTGTATTTATAAGGAACAACTGAAAAAAATGTTTAATGATCACAGTGTAGAAGTTAGAGGAAATTCAGAACAGCTCTAGAAATGAGTTAGGGATATGGTGGCTGTGCATAGATTATATCCAGTGGGGAAGAGAGTATTTGGGGAGCAAAGGATGCTAAATGATGATTCAAGAATCCAGTCTTCTTGCTCATCCAATTCACTTGGTTTCTTTCCCCAAACTACTGAGTAAAACCCAAGCCCTGCCCTGAACCACTTCTTTCCCCCATCCCTTTGTAGGCTGGATCGGGAACTCCATGGCTCAGGAGGGACCTTGCACAGGACTGGATAAAAGGCCTTAGAACAAGGCAAAGATAATGATCTGTCTACACCCTAATTCCTGAAACGTTTGAGCTGTTTGGTAAATCATCTCGTCCTCAACCCCAGTACCACTGGATTTCACTTTTCAGTGCGGTGGCATCCCCTTCCATGACACCATCTTCCTCAGGGCTTTGAGGTTGGGAACCTGATCTGCTGACGGTTATTTCAGTGGAAGGTGAACTTAGTGGCATTGCAAGCTCTTGATTGTAATCCTGCTTTAGCTCTAGAACCTTGGTTAGATAAGGTCATCTCGTTGGGTCTCATTTTTCTCCTCTGTAAGTGAAGGGGCTGCTTAATGCTGTCTTTTCCATCTCCGGTATGAGGGGGGTATGAGTGGCAGGGAAGGTTTAAAACCAATCACAGCCAGCCTGCCTGCGGGGGCTGAATCTAGCTTGCAAAATCTTGAAGAACCTCTTCTACATGCCTTTCTTTTCTAAGTCATGTCTGCCGCCTGCGATCCTGGGAAGGAGTGCTTTCAAAACCTGTATTTTTGCCCTCATTAGTAGCTGTTAATAAATTGTAATGAGCGATTTAAGTCCACTCCAAGGAAGTGAACAACTTTCCCCAACCCCTTACATCACAATCCACCTTTTGGTTCTAGAGTTCTCGCTGCCCAAGACCCCTAGGATTTTTAGCTCAGCCCCTGGGGCTGCCGAGCGCCCCCCGCCCCCGCGCAGGGAGAGAACTTAGGGGAGGGGCGTGGCACGAGCCTCGCCTCAGAGCGCCCCAGCTGGCCTCAGTTCAAACGACCGGGTGGGCGGGTCGGTGGAGAACGGAAGGGAGGGAGAGAAGATAGGAGCCCCGGCCCGCTCCCAACCCCACGCCTCCCAGCCCCATGGTCCCCGCCGCCGGCGTGCTGCCCTGGGCCCTGCTGCTCAGTCTGGGGCCCTGGGCGGCGGGGGCCGAAGGTCCTACCCCGACGGGGATGCAGCGGACCAGCTTACGCTTGGGGGCCCCAGCCCGCAGCCGGAGCACAGATGGCCCCTCCCGGACCAGTCGTCCGAGGAAGTCGAAGGTTACTCTGGAGGATGAGAATGATGCCCTGGCCACCGCTGACCGCCTGGCAGGCCCAGCAGCTGCCGAGCTCTTGGCCACAGTGACAGGAATCAGCCGGTCGTCTTTGGCCAGCTACAGCGATGACAACGATGAGGATGGGTCTTTGGAAGAGGGGGTCGTGATTGATGCCAGAAAGAATACCAGCCCTGGGACTCCCAGTACAATAGGAGTTTCCAGCACCGGGAGAGTCATAGCCAATAAGCAAGAACCAGAAATCAGGCTGACCACAAGCCTGCCATCTCCCCTTCCAAAGTCTACCAGGGACCTGCTGAGCTCCGAGACCACCCTGACCTCGTGGTCGTGGCCATCAGCTGGGTCCACCCCCAGTAGTGGGTGGCCATCACCTTCACCCAAAGCCATGCCACCTCCCGAGGATCTGCGGGTGGTGCTTCTGCCCTGGGGCCCTTGGCACTGCCACTGCAAGTCAGGCACCATGAGCCGGAGCCGGGCTGGGAAGCTACAGGGCTTATCTGGGCGCCTTCGAGTTGGAGCACTGAACCAACTCCGCACAGAGCACCGGCCTTGCACCTACCGGCAGTGTCCCTGCAACCGGCATCGGGAGGAGTGCCCCCTGGACTCAAGTCTCTGTTCTGAAACCAGCTGCAGCTCTACGACCACCACCACCACCACCTGGACCACCACCACTCCACACATGCCCCCCATCCACCTAAGACGCAGACCCAGCCTACCACCTCCCAGCCCCAGCCCAGCTCTTGCTTTTTGGAAAAGGGTCAGGATTGGCCTGGAGGATATCTGGAATAGTCTCTCTTCAGTGTTCACAGAGATGCAACCAGTAAGTGTTTTGTTGACGAATCTGAGAAGTGCTAATATCCCAAATCTATTGCTACACCAGCCAGTGTGCTTGCATGAACTGTTACTGTCTTACTTGGTTTTGATCCATAGCATGCATTGGTTATTCACATTATTGTTGGCCACTGATTGTACCAGTTTCTTGTTTGTAAGATGGTTCTCTGCATGTTGCTTAGGCTGACCTGAACTCCAGAGCTCAGGAGATCCTCCTGCCTCAGCTTCCAAAGGAGCTGGGAATGCAGGCATGGACTACCATGCCCCACTGTCTGTTTCTATTTTATTTTTTTTTTTGGTGAGAATGAAGTTTGAATTCAGGACCTAATGCTTGCAAAGCAGGTGCTCTACCGCTTGAGCCATTTTGCTCTGGTTATTTTGGAGATGGGGATCTCATGAACTCTTTGCTCAGGCTGGCCTGGAACTGCAATCCTCCCAGTCTGAGCCAAGTAGCTAGGATTACAGAAGTGAGACACCAGCACTCTACTGCTTATATTTCTTGAACTGCTGTTTATTAGGCAACATATCTTATTAGTTGTTAGATGATAATTGATCAGATAGTTAAGACTGTAAATACCTAAAGACTTTTATATGTTTATATGGTACTGAAGTTTGAACTCAAGGGTCTTGTGCTTGCTAGGCAGGTACTCTACCACTTGAGTCAGGTCCCCAGTCCTTTTTTGTTATTTTTTGGAGTATTGCCTTTTGCCAGAGCTGACCTCAGACTACTGTCTTCCTACCTATGTCATCTGGCTTGGTTAAGATAGAGAGGTCTTGCTAACCTTTTACCCTGACAGCCTCAAACTGCAATCTTACCGATCTCCACCTCCCATGTAGCTGGGATTATAGGCAAGAACTTCCATGCCTTGCTCACATAAAGACTTCTTAATGTATAGAGAATGGATTGGCGGGCTGGTGAAGGGGCTCAAGCAATAACAGTGCCTGCCTAGCAAGCATGAGACCCTGATTTCAAACCCTAATACTGAAGAGAAAAAAAAAAAAACAACAACAAATATCCCCATCGTCCAGATTTGCATTTTGGGCAGGTGGATTGGCTCAGACAATAGAGTGCCTGCCTAATAAGAGAATGGATTGGAAGATACTAACCAATTGTTTTTTTTTCCCCTTGCAGTACTGGGGTTTGAACTCAGGGCCTTATGCTTGCTAGGCAGGGGCTCTACCACTTGAGCCACTCCATCAGCTTTCCAATTAATTTTTTGAGACAGGGTCTCACTATATAGCCCTGGCTTACCTCAAACACTGTGCAGACCAGGCTGGCCTCAAACTCTTAAGGCTGTGGACCACCATACCCAGCCAATTAAGCTTTCAACTTCATGCAGTTTAACAGTAACTGAGGTCTCACTATGGGCACTTTACTTGGATCAGTTCTCATAACGTTTTGAGGTTATTCTCATTTTACAAGTGGAGAAATGGGTTTCCAAAGTTAGCAAATCTTGTAGTGGTAGAGGCACACATTGAAGCCAGGTTTGACACCAGTGCCCATGCTCTTACCTAACCCCAATTCCCAAGGGTTTTCCTGGGGATTCTTTCCAGCAACTTCAAAATTCTCAAGGAAGGAAAGTCCTCTGCTTTACCATATCAAAGGTTCTGATTGACCTGATAAAGTAGTCTCAATTGCTAGGAACAATAGGGAGGGGGGGAAAGACAATAAACAAAAGGGTATTCTTGGTGATTTTGCTGGCTTCTGGTTTTGTCTTTCTCCTTGTGTGTCCAATACTTTTTTCCTTTTTTGGTGGTACTAGGGTTTGAACTCAGGGCCTTACACTTGCTAAGCAGGAGCTCTACCACTTAAGCTACTCTGCCAGCCACTTTTTGTGTTGAGTATTCTCAAGGTATTTGCCTGGACTGGCCTTGAACTGCCATCCTCCTCATCTCTGCCTCCCAAGTAGTTAGGATTATAGGTGTGAGCCATTAGCGCCTGGCTCCAATATGACTTTGAATATAAAAATGAAGCATAAAGAAGGAGGGAGGGCAGTAGGGATGAAGGAATGAGGGTTTGAGGAAGGGAGGATAAAGCAAGGAAAGGATAAGAATGTAGATGTGGTTGTAATTTCCCCTTTTCTCTATTTTTTTTCCCCCATACCCAGACAGACAGAACCCGGAGGTAATGGCCACTTCACCTACAAGAGGAGGTGTCAGCATCTCAACCTCTTCCTTCCCTTTCTATCCCTCACCCACTATATTTTTAGTACAGAAAAACAAAACTGAAAAAAAAATTATCATTTGGTTGGTGTCTATTTTTTTTTTTTTGTATGTGTGTGTGAATGTGTTTGGAGCCAGGGATCGAACTTAGGGCTTTGTATATGCTAGGCAAGCACTCTATCACTGAGCAACACCCCCAGCACCTAGTCTTGTGACTTTTTACAGAAGTATTTGAGGGAGGAGAGTCCATAGATCTCTTCTGTCCTAAAACTGAACTTCATAGCCATCAGCCTCTGGCTTGTTCTCCTGTGTTCCTCAAGATAAAATGACACTGATTTTCATCCCAAGTCTGTTTTAAAAACAAGTAGCCCTTGAAAGATGATGGTGATTTCTCCTTGCCTTCTCAATGCTTGGTGCTATCTCTGGAAAAGGCAATGTTGGTACAAAATTCTATCTCAACCACTTTGAAAATGTTATTTTCATCAGTCTTATCTATCTTTTGATCCAATGCATACTTGTAGTGATTACTCTACAACTATTTTGCTTATTATTTTTATTTGAAAAAAGTATTTAAAAGTCCAACAATTTTTAATATAAATTATGACTCTCAAACCCATTCTTATCACTTTATTGGTAAAGTGATGCTAGCATACACATTAGAAAAGGTAGCTCAAGGAAAGAGAGCACCAAAGAGAAGACTGTGTCCAAAGAATAGGTATTAGGATGAGGCTAAAGAGCGAGTCCTCTATCTTTCTACCCTATCTTATCACCAGTCTAATCCTTAGGCTATTGTACTCATTTAGGCCAGAAAGGTAGGCTTTCAGAGTAACTAAATTGGGAATGATGAATCTGTATGACCAATCTTAGACCCTGAAAAACTGCAGGAAATACACTGAAATTTGAAAAAATTAGAACCTCAGTCACTGTAGATGGAGAAAAACTGGATGGATGGTATGATCAGTAGAGTGGATATCATTTCTCACAGTCCTGATTCCACTACTATAAAACAGGCCTTCTGTGACAGAGCTAAGGAGACCCCCCCAACTTTGCCTTGCAGCAGGTAGGAACTCATCTGTCTTGTTCTGCCTTCCTAATTACCCTACAAGGAAAGGATCAGAACAAAACACCTGAGAAAACTGAAAGTGCCTAAAGACCCTGCTCCTACATTACTTTCTCACTAAAAGCACTCTCCAACCAAGGGGGAGTGGGATGTGGTCTTCAGGCAAAACTCCCTGAGTCTTTTATTTGTGTCTGGTTCTGGGACTAGGGCACAGAAATAGAACTTAGAATTTGGGGGAGGATAATTAAGATGTCTTTACTGCTTTTCTCTCTCCTTTATCCAATCCCAACATATCCTGTTCATGTCTCCAGACTGTAGGAACCCCTCTTCAACAGTAAGGCCATCAGAGAGACTTGAAACCATGCAAGCACAAACAATACACTGAATGAAGATTATGTGCAGGACTACTTTATAAGAGGTCCTAGTTCATCCATGGCTCAAGCTTAAGATGAATAACCGGTTAGATGAGGGTAAGCTGGGGTGGGGGGATCAATTAAAAGAAACATGTCTTCACTCTGTAGAGCTGTGGTTATCAACTGTGGGCGATTTAATCCTTGGGAGACATTTGGCAATTTCCTTGGGAGACATTTGGCAATTTCTAGAGACATTTTTGGGTTGACATAACTAGAGTGGCCAGGGATGCCACTAAAATCTTATGCACAGACCAGCCCTCAATTACAAAGAATTATCCAGCCCAAACTGTCATAACTGTCTCAGTTGAAAAGTCTTGTTCTGGAGCCTCTCCTTGCTCCCATTCTATAAGGATCTTATGACTCCTATACTCAGATGATTGTTTTCAACCTGTTTATCTCACTACTGTCTCATCCTCAATAATCAGGAAGTCCACCTTGAGACAGAACTCCTAGTTTTGCTGCATTTATTCAGATCTCTCTTCCTCTTCTTACCTGGGACAGCAAGGAGGTTGGCAGAGGGTAAGCCAGGTCTCCCAAGTCTTAAATAGAATATTGTCAGGTTAAGAGTCCCCTCTTAACTCTTATTCAGTAGGAAACAATAAAGTTCTTAACAGGGATGGGGTTAAGGGCAGAGGTAGTAGCAGGATGGGGGTAATTAAAAGAACTCTTCTTAAATTAAATTTTTAATTAAAAAAAAAAAAAAAAGGAACGTTGCTGGAAGCCAGTAATGCTACAGAAACATAGGATTAGAGGCCTAACTAGTGAAAGACTCTGGTATTAGCAGAGAGCCACTGAAGGGCTGTGAGCTTAAGATCTCAAATCTAAAGAGAAAGAGTAGACTAGGTAGTTGTTACCCTCTCAGCCCCCTGACATCTGCTTTAGTTCATTCCATAAGGAAAGACAAGGGTCAGGAGGTAGGGAGCTTCTCAGCAAAGCCGGCTTCAACTTTGATAACCTCACCCACCCGCCCCATTTAAGGAGTTCCAGGTTAAAAGTTTAAAAACAGTTGGCACCCAGACCATCATTCAGGAGAAAGGAACACATTCCTTGTTCCCATTGAACTCCTAGCTCAGATCTAGAGTGTCCAGGGATTCAGCTGAGCTCCTCTGGCCAACCAGTAGTCACTTGGTCAGTCCTGCTGCCTTGACCCCATCTCCAGGAGGGGCAACAGCCAGAGGAAGTAGAGGGAGTCCAGCCCCCCACGCCTTCTGAGGCACTGTTAGGCAGATAGGGAAAAGAGGGGCCCTTGGGACACTGGTTCTATGAGAGATCTGATGGGGGCAGCATTTCTTCTGGGCTGGACACAGAAAGGGGGCTTCAAGATGACAGAACCTGAATTAAAAAAAAAAAAAATGTTTTTTAAAAGAATGAAGATTTGCCTCAAAAGAAAACCAAGGCCATAGGGAGAAGGCCCCACATAGTGCAGATTTTTAACTGTATGCACAGCGTGCCCTTTTCTCAGTTTCTATTTGTCTATATAATCCCCTCTCTCGGCCTTCAGGAAGGATCCTGCATCTTGAATTTTCCATTCTTAAGTCTGTCCTCCCCCACTTATTTCCCATTCTTGCTCAAGAGGATCAGGGTTCTGTAGCAGGGCACTAGAATGTGTCAGTATGAGTGTGAAGTATTGATGGATTTCTGTAATCACTCACCATTCCTAAGGGAGCTACAAGCCCCTAGAATTGCTCCATGGCCTGTCTCGGTTTCCCTTGGATCTCATCTGCTCCTGAACTGCTCCTGTCTGTTGAAAAGCACATGTGAGACACATTCCTAAGTATTCCTATTCCATAAAGAGTCTACCCTGTGCCCTCCAGGGCAGTGGTTTACCTTGTCTCATTGACAATAATATGAATCTGAAAAGTTTCAAACTATTGTTCCTCCCAGGGAAGTCTCAATGCCTCACATTGGCCTTCATGGAGATGAGGTAAAATGAGTTTCATGAGATCACCGCACAAAAAAACTCTTCCATATATACGTGAACTTTGTAACCAGTATAAGAACTTCATCACCATTTCTAGATCTATTTTCCTTGCTTTGGGAATGGAAATGCATTACGGACATTATTTAGGACAGAGGTGCGTACACATTTTCATGTCCCACACTTTGAGCCACAAAATGATTTACTGTGGCACTGATTTGGCAGTCCTTAATTAGGAGAAAGGAAGATTATCATTTTTTTAAAAAGCCCTCCAACTATAAAGACACACATATCTTCTACCCTAATGAATATGCTAATTATAAAGATGAATGAACCAGGATCCTAGATACTAGAGACCTAAAATAGCAGGTCTCAGGTTTACACAACTGGTAACGAAGACTAGAATCTCATATTCTTGCTTCCCCATCAAGTATTTTTTAATGTTCCTTACCTGACCTTTTAAAAAGGGTTATAGTTACAGACCAACCCCCATATCAACCTTTCTCCATTTTCTCATTACCATGGCAAGTCCATCTCCAGCCCCCATCTCCCCAGAGCCGATGTGAGTCAGGTGGACAAAATTCATTGGTTCCCCAATCATGGTCCGGTCAATCCGTCTCCTCTTCTTTTTCTGCTTGAAGAAGATGAGAAGTCATGTCTGCAGCCCCTCTCCTCCAGTCACAGAGGAGAAAGGATAAAGAGTCTTAAAAATCACTAAGGGAAGAGCTAAGGGTCTGGTGGGAAGAAGGGATGTGGCATTGTAATAGGAAAACCACTAAGGTATAAAAGACAATGCTGGAATAACATAAACACAAAGATGAGACCAGAGTGGTAAGGACAGTGGCCTGCAAAGTGAAGTGAATACTGCACAAAGAAAGGACAGCAAAATCACCTCTGACCGATGAAGAAACAATGGGGAAAACTGACAGGTCTTAAGTTCCACTTACAAACCTGGCCCACCTCAGAATGGACAGAACCAGAGGTGACAACTAGGACTATGCATCTCTTCCATCACACAGTCCCTTTATTGCACGTGTACAACTGCCTGGCCACAGAAACTTCCCTACAGAGAGGGAGAAGTTTGCTTTTCAGAAAGCAGCCATCCTAGATGGTGTAACCACAACACCTGGTAACTAATTTTTGTGAATGCTGGGGTGAGGGTGGGGGAGGGGAGACTCACCGGCTGGGGTTTCTCTACCACACAGCAGCCCAGTTTGTGCCAAAATTCACTCATATTCCCTGATGGTTCCAGCTTCAGTCCTCTGCCAGAGGCCCCCGAGGGCTCTTGCTCTGGTGTTTTGACCCACCACTCCTCGCTCTCGCCAGGTGTAACAGCACGTTGGGTTCACTCAGCTGGATGGGTCTAGAAAGTGAAATCCTCAGGACCCTTAGCTGAGCAGTGAAGGTCAGCGTCTCAGACTCCCAAGAGATAAACAGGGCCAGACAGAGGGGCAGGCAGGCAGGCACAGGTTATGTTGTCCTCAGATTTGGAACCCTGGATTAGCAGAAAGAAAGAAATTAATGAGAGATCCCCCCCCACAGACACCAAGCCCCAGAATCCTTCGGATAAGCCCTATATTTTCCCAGTTCTCCCGGAGAGGCCCTATTCCCACACACTCCAACACTAATCTTTTCCAAATGTAGGAACTTCACAGTTTGACTCTCACAAAAAGGAACAGAACCAAAAGGAGACCAACGGGTTAAAGAGCAGTGACTACTGCACCAAGGGAGAGGAACGAGACCACAAGGGTGAGAGGAAGGGAGGGGGCTAAAGGACAATGTCAGAAATGAGCAAAGTGTGGGGTGCTACAAGCTCCAGCACCCTTCTCCTTGGGCAGAAGGGGAGGGACATTTAAGTGACTGAAGAGGAAATAGTGGTTTTTTGTTCTCACAAACAAGGCCTCCGCCCTGTCCCTCCCTTTTTTCCTTACCTCACCTTGAACACCTGAATTTAAGAACAATAGGCCCTGCCACCTAGCAGGCTGGATCTCAAGAAAAAGATTCTTTCTATAGTGAGGAACTTCTTCCTTTGTCAGTTCATTGCCCTTGTTTTTCCTCATTTCCCTCAGCTGAGCTCCAACCCCTCCCAGAATCCATTTAGCAGTTCCTTTAATATCTGACCTTGAGATCCTTCCTGAAAGCTGTGTACAGTCTGTGCCCTGTATTGCTGCATTCCTGTGTGTACCTGTTCGCACCATGCAGCACAGACATAGCTCCATGTCTTGTATATCTGTGCAGATGTACAGGTGCATGCCCTGAGTATCTTTCTGTCCCATTAGGAGTAGTTCTGCAGCCTTCTCCACCCTTTTCACATGTCCTGTCATGCAGTTCTGCTCTGCCTCATATCCTATGGGGCCCAGGCCTCCTTCCCTCCTCCCCTCATGCTGTGACCTGTTCTCTCCTCCCTCCTCACCACTCCACCCGCAAGCTTCACCAGCCAACCACACACAAGGAACTTTCCAGTAGTACTAGTGTCCAAGGAAGAACTTCCTCCCTTTGCAGTACTACCAGCCAGGGGTAGGGCCCATATGATTTTCCTCTGTTCTATACTTCCCTGTCCTACACTATAGGCAACCTTGAAGATTCCAACTTGGAACGCTGGGGCTCTGGTACCCTAGACTGACCTAAAAACTGAGTTTATTTTGTTTTTTAGCAGCCTGGAGATGAGATTATACAAATACTGAAATACAGCTTCTAGAGGAGGAAAAAGCTCAAGAGTCTAGGCTTTCTCTCACTTCCCTTCCCACCCCTGGAAGGGAGGAGTAATCAGGGCGGAAGTCAGAACACAGCTGTTCAGAGAGGGGAGCTGTGGTCAGTGGGGAAGTCAATCAGTCACAGGGTTTGTCATGGTAGTGGCAGGTGGTAAGGGTTGGGGGAAATGGAGAAAACAATGAAGAATTAGAGGAAACCCCCAACACCACCAGACTGAGACTGGACTTGCCTCAACACTCCCCACCCTTACTCAAAGCTGAGTGGACAGAGGTGGATGATGCTGGAAGTGGGGGAAGAGGGAGAGGGAAAGGGGCAGTGGAGGGAACAAGGACGTTTCTGTTTCCTTTCCAAGGACCTGACCAGAGCTGGGTGGAGGGAAAGTATGTGTGGGACTTGGCATGAAATGTTCAATGATGATGAGAAGTGAACAGGAAATTCCATTCCCTAGGACATTAGGGTCTCTGAAACTTGGGGGTAGGGTCAGAGTGTGAAGAAGACAGGACAGGGACAATGCAGTAGCAACAAGGGTTGGTGGGAATGGGAACAAAGAAAAGGAATGAGAGATTGGCTGTCACTCTCTAGGTTGAGGAGTAATGAAGTTCTGAGCTGTTAAACTGAGGAGGAAAAGATGCCTAAATCCACTACCCACTTATTTCAATTCCACAGTGAATGGGAAGAGGCTGGGAAAACAGGAGGGATCAAGGATTAGACCGCATAAGGTCACATACTGACAGCCAAGTAGCACTGAGAACTAGTCCTTCAGTTAAGAAAAGTGAAATAAGGAACTGGGAACGACAGCCCCCAAGCCACCACCACCATCACCAAGGTCACACTAGGCCTTAAGAATGTCCAAGCTGTTGGGGGGCAAGCTGGACTGGGGTGGGAGGAAGGATGTACAGAGGTAGCTCCCCGGTCCTGTGGTAGACCCAAACCGGTTTTCCCGGTCCCGCTCCCTCCCGCCCCAAGGCCTCCAACCCGCTGCCTGACAAGCCTTCACAAGAAACAGCTGGAAAGAAAGAGAAAGAGAATTTAAAATGGAGTGGGCAATTCTGGCTAAAAGCCCAGGGATGCAGCTGGTCCCTGTGTAGAGACCCCACGGCATGGAGGGCTTTTTGAGGGACCCTGGAGAGAAGTCGACCCCATATTTCAACTAAGTGACATTTGCCCAAACACTAACTAGCCCTTCCCCTCCAAAGGTCTTGGCGGGGGGCTGGGTGTGGGGGGGGGCTTAATAAGAAACAGAACGAGGACCTAAACTTCCCCTCCCCCAGTATCTCCATCTATCACATACACTCTGATTCTGTCCCCCACCCACCCAGAAATTCTCTGCTTCTCCCAACGCTGAACTAGGACTGGGACCTCTGTGAATCTTTCGGACTCTGTCACTGTTCTCCGTGGCTCAGTGTGACTGAGACCTTGCCGGCCCCAGCTCCACTTCATTTTGTCTGGCACAAGACACCCCTGAGGTTAGTGGTACTCGTCGAAGAGCCCGTCTGTTCCCACCTTCCCCCGACGCTCCAGTCCCTTCCTTCCCGTCCACGCCTCAGCGGCCTTGGCCTGCGAACCGGTCCGCCCCGGTCTCCGCGGAGTGCAACCCTTTCCCCCCGACCCAGCATCGCGGCGGCCCCTCCTCACCCTCCCCACCCCCAGCATCCGGTGCGTCTCCGCCTGGCCCCGCGGGCGGGGCGAGCGGCCGCGCCGGGGGACCCAGTCCGCGGTCTCACCTGCTCTTCTCGGGCATCGAGGCGCCCAGCCACAGCTGGTGGGGGGCTCCCGCCAGGGGCCGGCCGGTACGGGTTCGCGGGAGCGCTCCTCCGCGCGGTGGGGAGCAGAGGGCGGACCGGCAGAGGTGGGGCTGGCAGAGGGCGGAAACGGCGGCGACGCGATTACGAAACCCGTCCGTCTTGGAGCCGAGCGCACAGCTCCCCACTGGACTGCCGAGGCACTGCACCGCCGAGGGACGCGGGATGGGACCTCGGCAGCCCCCGAGCAGCACCGCCCCTGGGAACTGCTCACGGGAAAATCTCGTGGACATCCTCGAGGACCTGGTCCCCGGGCTGGGCAAGCTGGACTCGCGCGTAGCCTAGGTGCACCAGCCATTGCGGGACCCGAACGAGGCAGAGCCCCCAAGTTCCCCTACCAACACCCTTCCCCAATCTCTTATGCTCGGCCCCAAATGGAATAAGGATAGGTTTCTTTACCCATTGCTAGGGAGATAAGCAATGAGTGGAGAGATGAGGCGAGAGGAATAGGGGTTGGAAGAGGGGTGAAGAAATTTTCTTATTCTCTTAGAAACACCTAGTAACCTGAAGTCCTTCGATTGGGGAAGAAAGGGACAAGTCCCCACCCCATTGTGTTCTACAGTGAATATTTTTAAACCATAAATCTACATAAGAGGACAATTAGTAGCTCGTTCATTGCACCCCAACACGAGGATGCTGGAAGGGATCAGAAAGAATGGTGCAGACCAATAAGCCTATGGAGACGCTTTAAGCCTCCCTCCCTCCCTAAAGTGTTCTGAACCTATCATTTGAATTAGCCGAGTCAGGCACGGAGGGGGCGGGGAGTCCTTCCGCCCATCTTAGGAGGGGCTGCATTGCAGGGGGAGACTGAGCAGCAGACTGTTATTGAAGAGAGAGGAGTGGAGACAAAGCCGTCAAAACTCCGATAGCTTCCTTTTTTTCCAGTCCAAAGCCGACCCCGGAGCCCCTGAGGCATTCCCTCCATCTCTGGAACACGCTAGTAGTTCACTGATAACAGGTAAACTAAACTGGGGGGTAGAAGGGGGTGGGGGCCGCAAAGCAGCTTCCTAAGGTTACATTGAAGACCCCAAGTAAGACTGCGGTGGGAACAGTTAAAGAGAAGGGGGCGCTATTAACAATGGGTAGTTATTTGTTCCCCGATTTAATAGCTCTTGACTAAGATCTCCATCCATGCCTTGTTATCATGTACCTAGGCCTTAATTTCTAAAAATTTACATGTAGTGATTTCTAGGCACTTACCTCCTAATTTCAAGTATCCGTTTTCCTGTAATTTTTTTGTCCTGTGTATTTAGTATCTTCAACCTATGTTATCTATATCTTCCTTTTCAAGCTATAATTTGTCTCACAAGTTATTTGATGAATCTTTACTCCTATAATCTCTCTTGCCTCTACCCCCCTATATTTCATCCCCCCCCCTCCGTTTTGTTTGTCTCTGTAGGAAGGAATTTGGGCGTTGGAGGTGGGACATAGGTAATATTGAGAGTAATCCTGACCTTTCTTTTTAATAGTATCCTTCTACCCATCTCAAATTTTTGCTCCAAAGAGGCAGGTTCAGGTAGCAAAGAAAGGGACCTGATCCTATACCGAAATTAGTACAGCCCATTGGAGCTATTGATGGGGGGTGTATTCTTATTTGCAGCTAAGTAGAATAAGTGGGGAAAGATCAGGGCTAACAGGAAAATCCAAGCTCAGAGTGAGGCACATATGAGGATGGTAGAGAGCTTCTATTCCCCTCCACCACCATGCTCTCATCCTTTCCAACTCCCAATGGTGGCAGCATGACACAGCAACACCCTGTTGACTAGGCCTTGGATACCCACAGAGGGTCTGGACAAAGGATATTTGGGTGTGTCTATGTGGCTCAGAGAGAGTATCTTTTTAATCTGTACATTTATAGTCAGATATCTAAGAATAGACAGTGAAATTTAGAAATTACATTTGCCTAAAATATCTGAGTAATTTAAAATGAAGGATAGTGGGAAGCATTTATTGAGCATAAATATGGTACAAGACACTGTTCAAACCCTGCAAGATAAATAATGGAAAGCTAGATGAGATGATGTATGGGTGGAGAGCTTTGGGGGAGGCGAAAGACGTTAGCTGAAAAGGAACCTTTTATAAAATTTGGGCGTCTTGGGAAATAAATCTGTATTATATTAAAAATATTATTAATGTCTTTACATTGTTAAATACCCTTTGGTATTTTAGGTTCAATTTTCTGTGTAACCTTACATTTACATTATGTTACTAATTTTAATGCCACATATGCTTGTATGTCTAGAATGCATTTGATACTCTCTGTACATGTCTCTGGGCCAATGACATAGCTGGAGATTTTAGGCTTCTTTTCTAGTTCACAAAATTTTCCTTTAGATGTTTTTTGTTTTTGTTTTATGTAGCCAAGACTGTTCTTGAACTCATCATCCTTCTGCCTCAGTGTCCCAAGTGCTGGAATCACAAGTGTGTACCATCACACCCAGCTCTTAGCTTTTCAAATTGCAAGATAGCAGTGCCAGACAACTCAGGGACTGTTCAGGCAATTACTGAAGTTACGAGAAAAGGAGTCTGTTTGTCAAAGAGCTTTTCCCCTTTTCTCAAATTCTAGCTTAGCCTCTACTGCTTTTGGCACTTTCACTGTTCATATCAGAATCACGGAATAGTCAAAAGAGTATTCTAACCCTCAGAATATCTGTTCTTCAAGAAACAGATTCTTAGTTAGGCACTGGCTCACACCGGTAATTCTAGCTACTTGGGTAATTCTAACTGAGATCAAGAGGATCACAGTTCAAGGCCAGCCTAGGCAAACAGTTCGTGAGACTCCATAACCAGAGCAAATGGACTGGAGGTGTGGCTCAAGTGGATCACCTGCTTTTCAAGTACGAAGTCCTGAGTTCAAACCTCATCCCACAATAAATAAATAATAAATACTAGGCTAGGATGTGGCCCAGTGGTAGAGTGCTTGCCTAGCACGCTTGAGGCACTGGGTTCGATCCCCAGTACTCTAAGAACTAAATTCTTGGGATCGTAGCTTGATGGTATAGTGCTTGACCTAGCACACAGGAAGCCCCAGGTTTGATCCCCAGCATTTTGCCACCCCCAAAATATTAAGAATTATGTTTTTTTCGGTACTGGAGATGGAACTCAGAGCCTCACACTTGTAGGCAAGCATCCTACCACTTGAGCCATGCCCTCGGTCCAAGAACTGAAATACTTTGATTTGATTTTTGTTTTGGCAATACTGGATTTTGAATTCAGAGCCTTGAGCTTGACAGACAGGCATTCTACCACTTCAGCCATGCCCCTAGTCTTTTTTTGCATTAAATATTTTTCAGATAGTCTTGTGGCTTTTTGCCCCATGCTGGCCTGAACTGGTATCCTTCTAGCTATGCCTCCTGTGTAGCAGGGACCACAAGCACACACCACCACACCTGGATTATTGAGTTGGGGTCTCACTAACTTTTTGCTTCAGCTGGCCTCAAACATCAATCCTCCTGATCTCCACCTCCCAAGCAGCTAGGATTACAAGCATGTACCACCATATCTAGCCATGATTCTGCTTTGTTTTTTTTTTTAACAGCCTATTATGTGCCTAGCATTATACTGAAGTTATTTTGAGACTTACAGAGACTTACAAGGGAGGGGATATAAAAGAAGCCAGCTAGGTAGGGAAAAAAAGGGTAATTTAGTAAACAATTCCAATACATACAGTCAGTAATAATATTGACTCCTAAGGCTTGCTGCTTACAATCTTTATAGTCCCTGACCTAAGCAGGGATTGGTTGGCTAATAGGTGCAGCCATTTTTTTCTAGCTCTTTCTGTAAATTACTGTGTAGATGATCAGAGGTGAGTATCATAGGATGATGACCTCACCTGTCCAATGTACTCCTCCGACCTGCATCACCTTCCAAGAAGCTTGTCTGTTGAGTAATGCTTAGTGCCCAGGGTTTATTTTGGAGTTTGAATCTAGCAACAAAAACCCAATTCAAATATTCAGATTTGTTTGTTTGTTTGTTTAGAGACAGTGTCTTACTGTGTAGTCCAGGTTAGCCTGAAACTTGCTATGTAACCCAGTGTGGCCTCAAACTTGAAATCTTCCTGCCTCAGCCTGAGTGGGATTACAGGCATACACCACTATGCCCAACTCAACAATTCAGAAATTGCTCTTTTGTTTTGTTTTTGAGACAGGGTCTCACCATGTGGCACAGACTGGGCAGAAGCTCACTATGTAGCCCAGGCTGGCCTCAAGCTCACAATCCTCCTTCCTCAGTCTGAGTGCTGGGCTTACAAATTGTGAACCACCACACATGACAGCTAGGCTGTTTTTGATATCAAAAGCAAATTCTAGAGCTGGGCATGGTGGTACATTTCTGTAATCCCAGCACTTGGGAGGCTGAGACAGGAGGATCACAAGATCAAAGCCTGAGCTACATAGTGAGTTTGAGGCAAGACCCTGTCTCAAAACAAAACAAAACCCTAACCTACCCACCCACCACTCCTAAAACCCAACACTCTTGCAGATCATTATGTTCTAGATTAAGGGTTTCTTTTTCTACTTTAGTAGAGACATTTCACCTTATATGGGAGCATTTTGGAACCTACTTAAGGCCACTATTTAGGAGTCACAGGCCTGGTGAGAACTGATGGAGTGTGCTGGAGAAAAGCCTTTTGAAACTTAGTGTTCTATTTTTGGAGGCAGTGGAATGTTCTACTTCTTTGGAAACATTTCAACTAAAGCTTCTTGCCCCTTCCCTTGGCCAGTAAGTAACAAGGTAGACTCTAGGGAGCTATAATAGTCACATAACATCAGAGGGGACCTGGGTAGAATGAACAGGGAAGGTGATATTGTACTATTCTCTAAAACATGGGAAAATATCTCATTTTGTTAAGATACTTTCTCCTTGAAATCTAAACTTTAGTTCCTCAGCTGGAATTTCCAATCTATTTGCTCTCCTTATTATTAGGTATACTCTAGCAGTAGGATCAGAGAAAAAAGGTCCCGTTACAGAATAGGAAAATTCTTCTAGCACCTGGGTTTTGCTCTGAAGTAGAGGTAGGCTAGAGAGAAATAAATTAGACTTATCTGTGGAGTAGTACATGAGAGTAGCAACATTTTCATGGTATTAAATAGTGAGGGAAAATGAATCAGTAGCCTTGAATGTCTTTGTATGCAAAGTCTAGCACCTGTGGTACTCAGAAAGTACTGTTTTTTACCTTTAGGGAACCTTCCACCTGTTGGAGTTAAGACCATCCCTATACAAAATACACATATGGTGATATGTAACACCAAAGGGGAAAACACTGGAGGAAATAGGGTAGATGGAGATGACTAAATTAAGTGGTCCTGGAAGAGGTGTTTATAGTAAGATTTAGAAAGCAAGAAGGAAAACAGAAAGCAGAATGTCATGGAAGGTTTTAGAAGTATCATCACCTATTAAACCAAAAGTAGGGCCAGGTACAGTAGCCCATGACTGTAATCCTAGCTACTGGAGAGGCTGAGATAGGGAGGATCTCAGTTCAAGGCCCACTCTGGACAAATAGTTCAAGAGACCCCATCTCCAAAAATAAGCAGAGCAAAATGAGCTAGAGGCATGGCTCAAGTAGTAGAGCTTTTTAAGTTTTAAGTCCTGAGTTCAAACCTCAGTCCCACAAAAAACAAAACAACAACAACAAAATAAACCCCCAAAGACAGGAAGAAGTTATATGTTTAGGGCTGGGGATGTGGTTCAGTGACAGTGGTAGAGCAAGGCCCTGAGTTTGAGTCCCAGCACCAAAAAAAAAAAAAAAAAAGAGTATTTGTAAATATCATAGAAGTTGGATGAGGGAATATTTCTCTAGGGACTTGACTAAAGTCTTGAAACCTGGAAAATATTTTAAGGTAGAGAATGTAAGGAGTTAAGCAATGCAGGAATGAACTATGCAATGCAGAGGCTGTACTATGGCTAGGAACAGTGGAGTCAGATTTTGGAAGACCTTAAAAATCAGACCCGAGATAAACTTGATGCAATAGGCAGTAAATAAATCATTCCAAGATGGAGAGAAATTAGGGAATGGTAGAAAATGGTAATAGAGGAAGAGTTCCTGAAGATTGTGTAGGGAATTTGTATTATTTACAGAGACAAATGGGGATGTGGAGTTTAAGCAAGGAAAGGCCATCCCTTTCACATTAAGACTGACATGTGGTTTCTTTCTATAAAGCCATGAGGGACCCTGTGAGTAGCCAGTACAGCTCCTTTCTTTTCTGGAGGATGCCCATCCCAGAACTGGATCTGTCAGAGCTGGAAGACCTGGGTCTGTCAGATACATCCACCTACAAGATCAAGGACAGCAGCGCTGGCAAAATGACCGGGCAAGCAACTGGACCAGAGCAGGAGAAAAACCCTGAAGGTGATACCCTCCTCGAGTACAGCACCTTCAACTTCTGGAGAGCTCCCATTGCCAGCATCCATTCCTATGAATTGGACTTGCTCTAAGGCCAAGACCTGTCTGTCTCCCACCACCTGACCCTCATTATCTCCCCTTTCAAGCCCTTTATCCTTTTCCCATGTTAATCTCTTCCCTCTATTGTGTTGGTGGTGCTGATGAATCTGCCAGTTGTGTTTATTTATTTATTCCATTTCTTTCAAAAGTCTTCAAACCACACAGTAATGGATCACATTATGTAACGGTGACCCTCCACTCCTGACATTATTAACCTCAGAAAACAGGCATGAGAGAGTAGTATAGTAGTGAAATAAGGAACATTGATTTTTGTATTCTATTTTAATTCAGCTTCAAAGATTACCCAAACGTTCCTAATTTCCTGCTCCAGGCAAGTAAACATCTCCTCCAGGGTGAAAATCTTGGAAGTCTTTAAGATGATTTGCTACAAAACAGTAAGATTTCTAAAAGACTAAAGTCATAAGACTTGCTTTTTTGATCCTTCTCCTTCTTGTAATATATTATTTTTCCCAGAAAATTTGGGGATAGCTTAATAATAAAAGGAGGAAATAGATCAAATTGAAAATGGGAGAAAGCACTGAAACATTTCAGAAATACCTAAGCTGTTTCTCAGAGTGTACCTTTGGAGCAAGGCGCTAGTGGCTCACCCCTGTAATCTTAGCTACTCAGGAGGCAGAGATGGGGACGATCATGGTTCGGAACCAGCCCGGGAAAATAGTTTGGGAGACCATATCTTGAGAAAACACATCACGAAAATGGGCTGGTGGAGTGGCTCAAGGTCTAAGTCCTGAGTTTGAGCCCTGTACCTCAAAAAAAAATTATACCTCTGGCCTACTTACTTTACAATTTTTCTCATAACTGTGAGTTGAAAATGCTAGCTGAGGAAAATTATGTTTTATGAAGAAATATTACTATTGGGATAATTTGTAGTTTTGATTCAATCATGCAACCAGGCAGAGGGTTTGTTCATTAGTATTTTAGTACTGCCCAGCTGCATTTGAAATATATAATTACTGTTCCCATGGCCTCAGGCACGGTTCTTCAGCTACCTTAAGACTATGAAATGAACAATAACATTCATACCCTATACCTTGTCCCTACTCCTTCCAAAATTATTGCTGCTGATTAGTGCTGCCATTTATTCATTTATGTAATAAAGACGTTAAGTCCCAAGACTGGATTCTAGTTTTCTCTTCACAGGGAAGCCGTACAGATGTCAGAAATTACTCATGCTTTCACATTCAGCTTATACACTATCCTTCTAATATTCCAACTTTGAGGGAAAATGATTTGAATAGCATGTATACACTCAATGGTGCACTTCAGGTTGAACAGATCGGTAACAAAGGGTGAAATCAACTTAAAATTAGGCAGTTAGCAAGAAAGCGGCAGCCAACCGCTCTTAGGTTGCCCACTACCTACCAACACGTTTCAGGTGGTAATTTTCCTAGATGCCTAAGATAAACTAATTCGCCCAAATATGTTAATGTGCTTCTTTGTAACTCACCTCATTCTAAAAAAGCTATTTGAAACTAACTTATCAACAGTTTGTGTTCCTACTATATGACACAGCCAGTCAATATAAGAGGATGTAAATAGGAATGAGACAAGATTGTGACTCAAACGTTAAAAAAAAAAAAAAAGCATGGATAGTTTTGGACAGTATGCTGTAAATAGTTTGAAGATGATATCAACAGACAAGTTTGGAAGAGGGGAAGACAAATACGCCCCGAAAGGCCGACCATCAACACCACCATCAACAACCAAAGTCCAAATCTAATAATAATAATAATAAAAGTGGAGCTAGGAATGGTAAGTGATGTGTCCTTTTCTATTAGTGATTGTTAAGCGCTTTCCAGACTTCTCATGGTCCTTGAAGTCATGGAAATTGGTGGGTGGAGACGGGGACCAACCGTTTTGTAAATGAAGTGACTGAAAGGACTTGAAACTCACGCGCCATCTCTTCCAGGTCCCCTAAAAGGGTCGACAGCTACTGGTCGCACGCTTCACTGACAGCTTGCCTTTGGGTCTTTACACCGAGGCTGTAACTGGAAATGTGTCCATCAGGCCCGACTCACGCGCAAAGCTAGGCATGTTCCGAACGGTTTCTTCCGAGGTTGGGACAAGGAAGGAAGGTTTTCCTGCCAACCTCACGGTGGAACACCCAGAGGACGAGCGGAGAGATAGAATGCAAACACGAGGACCACGAATAAGCTCAATGCTCAGAGGTCCGCGGGTTATTGGCGCCAAAACAACCATCAGAGTCCGTCCCCTACCGGAACTATACGACACGTAAGACGCGTAACCGATAATCCTCCGCCGTACTAAATAGCCCCTCCCGGGATGCGTCCAATACACACTTTTCCAGCTAAAGATGCCCTCAATAGATAGGACATGAGCCTCGGAGTACACTGTCTCCCCGTTCGAAGGGAAATGTGCATTCTCTAATCAATCTCCCACTACAGGTTCCTCCGCCAACGACCTACTCACTGCGTCTTCACTTCCGGGTCCGCCATTTTGTTGCCTCCATTTCTCCACGAGGGGGGGTAAAGGCCCCCAAAATATGCATATATATGAAAAGGCCAAAAAGTAACCGTCATTGACAGGGAGTCTTAACTAGAGAAAGAAACGAGACCAAACTGGCGGGCTCGGTGGAAGCGAAGCCGGCAGCGTCCCGGACGAGGAGGTGAGGGGGAAGAAGAGATGCGTGGACTCTGGGGGGCGTCACGGATGGAGTGGAAGGTGTCGGGACAAATACCGCTTCCCAGCCCAGCCTAGGGGTGCGGACCGACTGGCACCCCCTAGCCGGAGCGGGGGAAAGGGGACAGGGAGGAAGGGGATGCTGTGGAGAGGAAGGGGAGGGGACTAAGAGGAGGTGAAGAAGGGGGTGGGTGTAAGACCTGGGGCTGGGGAGCTGGACCGAGGGAAGCAGAGGCCACAGAGGTGACCACTAGGGGGCGGCGCGGAGCAAGGGTTGAGGGTTGCCGAGGCTCAGCTTTTGCCTCCTTGCCCCAAATTGGCTCCCCTCTTTCGGAAAGAGAACACGGAACGTTGGTGTAAAGAAGTGGAGGATGTATAACAGAGGAGGAACCGAGGATTCTGCTTCTCAGACTCCAGTAATAACCTAACGATTGAGTGAGCTCAGTGATCGGAGCAGGAGCAGTAATGGCCCCACCTCCAGTGCTTGCACAGTTGCTTGTACAGCTGGCTGAGCACAAAAAAAAAAAAAAAAATCGTTAGACCATGGATTCTTCCATTGTTGTTTTCCTTCCCGTTAGTCTTCTACTACTCACTAATTTCCTTGGGCCATCATTCCTCTCCTCTTTCCCATAAAGGCTTTTCTCTAGTGTCTGTCTGCCTCTTTCTCGGCATCCATTGGAAAGGACATTCTATGGCGTCTCTTCAGCAATTTAACATTTTGACCATCTGGGACCATATCTTCACGGTACCTTTTTTTTCCTTTTTCTTTTTACAGTACTGGGATTCGAACTAAGTGCCTACACCTTGAGCCACTCCACCCAGCCCCTTTCTATGAAGGGTTTTTCGAGATAGGGTCTCGCAGAACTTTTTGCCCCGGCTGGCTTTGAACCAAGGTCCTCCTAATCTCTGCCTCCTGAGTAGCTAGGATTACAGGCGTGAGCAACAGACCCCCAGTTTACCACATTCTTTTTTTAAACGAATTTAAAAACCTCTGTCATACATGCTTTGATAAGATGGAGGAGAGAACTATCTCACCCAAATTGTTGTATCAATAAAAGTAATTACTCTTTGATAAGAGTGCTTTATTATTAAGAGCTCAAACACTTCCACAGTCATTAAAATACAACTGTTGAAAGTTCTTGTATTTTTATTAGGAGGAGGGAATGAGTGCTCTGTTATTTTATTCATCTTCAAAATCCTAGGAGGCAGGGCTGGGAGGTAGCTCGGCTGCGGTAGAACACTTGCTTACCTTTCCTGAGGCCCTGAGATTCAATCCCCAGCACCTAGGGAAGCAAAGAAAAATCCTTGGAAGCAGTTAGACCAGGTTTTGTTTTCTCACTTAAAATGTAATAAAAGTGGGTGTAAATCCAGGAAGTGAAAAATGTTTTCCTTTTGTTGTTAATAATCAGATCAAAATTGTTTAGATTGTTCTTTTGATCTACATCTCTTGTCCGGTGGGTTCTGTCAGTATTGATCCAGGTACTGGGCGAATGACAAAGGAATCACCCAAAAAACTGTTTGTTTGTTTTATTTAATGGTACTGAGGTTTTGGATTCAAGGTTTTGCAGGTGCTCTTCCACATCCCCCAGCCTTTTTTGGTTTGCTTATCTTTGAGATAGGGTCTCTCCTGTTTTTGCCCTGGTCCACCTGCACCATGATCCTCCTACTTAGGCGTCTTAATGCTGGGAAAAACGCCCAGCATTTTTGTTGAAATGGGGTCTCACAAACCTTTTGCCTGGGCTGGCCTTGCATCTGGGTTCTCATGATCTCCACCTCCTGAAAAGTTGCTGTTATTTTTTTTTAATAGCTATTATTTAAAAAATTCATTGTACTTTCACTTAGATAGGTACTTCAGGTTAAATCGAGAGTAATAGGACAGGAGATAAGAGCCTTAAAGAACACATTTTTAGGACACATTTTTATGCCAGGGTGATGGATATAACACCCTGATAACAATCTAACTCCATAGTTTAACTATATCTCTTTATAGTAAGAAGTAAAGCTCTTTGTAGCTTATTTAAAGAATGAGATGACAGGACACATGACTGTAGGTGCTGAAGCACTCAGGAGGCTGAGGCAGGAGGATGGAGAGTTGGTGGCTAGCCTGGGCTGCTAGCAAGACCCAGTCTCAAATCTCCCCCCTGCCAAAAATAAATAAATAAATAAAAGAATGTGACGACATATTTGGGTCATTTGCCATGTAGTGGTACTGATACTTGACTTATAAATATGATTTTAAAAAAGTGATAAGATACATATGAAGGCAGACTGCAGTGCTGAAGATGCCTTGTACATGCTAGGCAAATGCTCTACCACTGACCTTTGCATCCCTAGCCCTTGGTTTTTAGAGATAGTCTCACTATGTAGCTCAGGCTCACTTTGAACTCACTATGTAACTCTGGCCAACCCTGAACTTGCTATCCTCTTGCATCAGTGTCTTAAATGTTGGGATTATAGATGTGTACCTCTACCACCATGGCTGACTGAAAGGAGTATTTGAATAGTTTCTTTTTTCCCCTTTGCTTTCAGACACTTGGTTTTCCTTTTTTTTTAAAATTTATTTATTTATTTTAGGGGACTGGGGTTTGAACTCATTGCTTCACAATTGCAGAGCAGGTGCACACAAAGTGGACATTCTACCTTTTGAGCCATACACCCCAGTCCATTTTGTTCTGGTTATTTTGGAGATGGGGTCTCAAGAACTATTTTACCAGGCTAGCCTCAAATCTCCATCCTCCTGATCTTAGCCTCTTGAGTACCTAAGTTTACAAGTGTGAGCCACCACACCCAACTGGTTTTTACTTTAAATGTGTCTTAGAAGGGACCTTCACATTGCTATCACCCCAGCTAGCCCTTATGCTAATATTTTTGAGACAGTGTCTCACTAAGTAGTCCAAGTTGGCCTCAACTCTCAATCCTTCTGCCTCAACCTCCTGGGTCCTGGGATTACAGGCATCCACAACCATATTCAGCTGCATTGTTTAAATGCTTTGCTTATTTAAATATCAAATTGACCTTACATGGAATGTGGTATGTGTACAGAGTACAGACTTAGATGCTCAGGTTTGGGATCTCAAGTCACTTAATTGCTCTGGGTCTTAGCTCCATCTTGGTTTCAGAGGATTCAGTCCAATGTGGTAAAGAGGGCATGGCAGAGTAGAGCATTGTACATCATGTTGGAAAGGAAGCAGGGAGAGCCCTCTTTTTCTTTTTTTTTGAGAGAGAGAAGGTCTTGCTGTGTAGCCTGAGTTAGCCTCTAACTCTTGGTCCCTCTGTCTGTCTCCCAAGTGCTAGAATTACATGCTTGTCCCACCACAACCAGATCTTTAATTGCTTTAATAGTTTTTTCAGACAATTGTACGTATTTGATGCTGTACCAAAACTTGACAAGTTGTCATTTTTTTGTGATGCTGGGGATCACACAAAGGGCCTCATACAAGCATTCTACCACTGAGCTAAATCCACTGCATCCCTGATGGAATTTTTTTAAAACTTAGTTGCAATGAGAAATCTGAAACCATATCAATGAAATCTTGTACCTCTGTAACTTAAAACCCACTGATCTGTTTTTCACTTGAAATTTTTTACTTGTGAGTGATTTTATAACATCAAGCATTGGTCATTATGAAGATCATCAAATACTGATCTAGTTAATTATACAGTACCAAAAATCACATTAATACCACCACTACTATCAGAATTTTTTTTTTTGGGGTGGGACCGGGGTTTGAACTGGTTGCTTCCTGCTTGCAGAGCAGGTGCTCACAAAGCAGATGTTCTACCTTTTGAGCCACACACCTCGAGTCCATTTTTTTCTGGTTATTTTGGAGATGGGTGGTCTCTTGAACTCTTTGCCTAGGCTGGCTTTGAACCATGACCCTCCAGATATCAGCCTCCAAAGGAGCTAGAGTTACAAGTGTGAGCCACCAGAACCTCACCAGAAAAGTCTTTAGTAGTAAGCTGTTAAGTTCATGATGATCAATTCATACTTTCCAAAATTCTTTTATATGTTTATTTTTTTCAATAGTGGGGTTACTCAGGGTGTACTTTCTAGGCAGGTGCTCTACCACTCAAGCCAAACCTCCAGCCCTTTTTTTTTTGCTCTAGTTATTTTTCAGGTAAGGTCTTGCATTTTTGCCCAGTTGGCCTTAAAGTACAGTCCTCCTACCTATAGCCTCCTGCATGAAGCTGGAATGACAGGCACGAACCACCACACCTAACTTGTGGGTTAAGATAGGATCTTGCTTATTTTTTGCCCAGGGTGACAGGGGCAATCCTCCCAATCTCAGCTTCCTGAGTAGCTGGGATTATAGGCATGAGCCATTGTGCTCATTTTTTGTTTTGGTTTGGTTTTTGAGACTGAGGGTCAATATATGGCCCAGGCTAGCCTCAAACTCTCGAGCCTCCTGACTCAGCTTTCTACATGCTAAGATTATCAGTGTGCCAGCATGCTTGGCTCTGTTTATCATTCTTTCATATAAAAATGGTGTTTTATGATAAAAGTAGTTACTTTAGTTTGCAACTTAATGTACAATCCTATTTCTCAAGAAGTTCATTGTTTTTCAGTATGTAACAAGAGTGCTTTATGTACATTTTCCATTCTATCATATGGAAATTGTAAACACATAATAAAATCAGTAATTTTTACTGCTGCATCAGGGATTTTTTTTTTTTGGTGGTACTGAGGTTTGAACTCAGGACGTCAAGACCTCATGCATGCTAGGCAGGCACTCTACTACTCCAGCCACTCCTCCAGCTCTTTTTCGGTTGGTATTTTTGAGATAGGTCTCTCGAACTATTTGCCTGAGTTGGCATCAAATCACAATCCTCCTGATCTCTGCCTCCTGAATAGCTAGGATTACAGGCATGAACCACTGGCACCCTGGCTTTTTTCCCCTGAAAGTACACTGGTAATGAAAAATACAATAATTTTTTTCACAATTTGATTTCTGCTAAGGCACCAGCAGTTATAACCCACCCTTGCATTTGTACCATCAGTGGTGCAAATTTACTGGTGGTGTGGCCAGCAGTAAAAAGCTTCATGCTTGTAAAGCATGAAACCTAAATTCAAACCCTAGCCCCACCAAAAAAAAAAATCTAAGCCAGGCATGGTGGTGGGCACCTGTCATCCCAGCTATGCACAAACTTGAAAAATAACTAACACAAAAAGGGCTAGAGGTTTGACTCAAGTGGTAGAGTACTTGCCATAGCAAGTCCAAGGCTATGAGTTCTAATCCCCAGTACTACAAAAAAAAAAAAGTTTTGACCTCATGGATTCTGAAAAGTTGTTAGTTGGCCCATAAACCACATTTTTGAGCTGCTGGCCTAAGCAGATCAGTATTTGACCAGTAAGAGTTTGCTTTCTATAAACTTTGAACATTATTATGTCTTTACATCATAATCAGATTTTTAAAAAGGATTAACTGATTCAATTTAATTTAGAAGCTTTGGTATATCATATTCCATTTTGACATTCAAAGACTATAATCCAGCCAGGCACCCATGGCTCAATGCCTATAATCCTAGCTACTTAGGAGGCAGAGATCAGGAGGATCATGGTTCAAAGCCAGCCCAGGAAAATTGTTCATGAGATACTATCTCAAAAAAACCCTTCATAAAAAAAGGCTTGTGGAGTGGCTAAAGGTGCAGGCCCTGAGTTCAAACCCCACTACTGCAAAAAAAAAAAAAAAAGGCTATAATCTTCTAGAAAGAGTAATTAATGGACTAGAGGAGGTGTAGCTCAGTGATAGAGCATTTGCTTAGTAGGTAATAGTTCTCTCTAACTCTTTCCCCAGGCTTGCCTCAAACCTTGATCCTCCAGATCTCAGCCTCCCAAGTAGCTAGGATTACAGGCATAACCCACCAGCCTGTGAGGGTGCATATTTAGTTACTTTGTACTGTATTCCTTAAAATAATATTTACTGTTGATTATTTCAAGTAGATGAAATGCTATTTTATTGACTCTATACACTAGGAAGGTTGCACTACATTGCACATATTTCCGAAGTATTTTTCTGCAGATTGAAAGTGAGTGAACTATTGTTTAGGGCCTGAAACTTTCCCCAGATTTCTGAGATTGTGTTAGATAAGGTAAAAAGGAAGGGGTTACCAGATAGTCTACTTGAGAAGTATCATATATGTTCAAGCATAAGACGTCTTCTAAAAACGTTTTACAGGCAGCTTTCCTTGTGTTTGAGTTTTAGCAACCTGAAAACTTTTGTTCCTATGCATAAAGATGTCTTTGGTGGACTTGGGGAAGAGGTTACTAGAAGCAGCAAGAAAAGGCCAAGATGATGAAGTAAGAACATTGATGGCAAACGGTGCCCCATTCACCACAGACTGGGTAAGCTTAGCAGAAATGTCTTAATTATTTCCAAAGCTGCCTTTACCAGCCTTTTTCTACTTTTTTTGTTTTCCATAGTACTGGGGTTTGAACTCAGGGCAGGTGCTCTGTCACTTGAGCCACTCCACCAGCCCTTTTTTACATTGGGTATTTTCTTTTTTTTATTTTTTTTTTCATTTTTCTTTTATTATTCATATGTGCATACAAGGCTTGGTTCATTTCTCCCCCCTTGCATTGGGTATTTTCCATATAGGGTCTCATGAACTGTTTGCCTGGGCTAGCTTCAAACCTTGATCTTCCTGATCTCTCTGCCTCAACCCATCAACGTTTTTCTTAAAGGCTAAACAGACATTGATTTTTCTTCATTCTCTTTCTATCTCACTCCTCCTATAAGAGTTTTACATTCTTTGTCTCACCTGAATATGTGATTTTTCCCATTTTGTTTTCCAAATATAGGTGGTAATTGGAAGGTATTAGATACTTGCAACTTTCTATAATGTTTTAGAGTATTTCCTAAAGGTTTAATTCTCTCTGGCATGTACTTGGGTTATAAGCTTCTGTAATTAACTATAAATTAAACAAAATCAGTATAATAAAAGTACATTTCTAAATGAATAAGCTTGTTTCACTTTCTCTAATACATCCTCGTTCATAAGGAAAATTCTAGCTATTTTGTTTCCTTTACCACTCTTAGAAATATCAAAGAGGAGTTAGGACGGTGGTACACAATGAAATTTCAGCACTCAGGAAGTAGAAGCAGGATTATGAGTTCAAGGCCAGCCTAGGCTACATAGGCCCTGTCTTTAAAAACTGAAAAAAAGACTGGAGATGTGGCTCAAACAGTAGAATGCCTGCTTGCAAACAAAAGCCCTGAGTTCAAAACCCAGCCCCATAAACAAACAAACAAACAAACAAAAATAAGATGTAATTTAATGAGCCTGGACAACCAAACCTGGAGGCCAGAAAGTTTCGGAAAATATAGGTCCAAGTTATAGTATGGGCTTTCTTAAAGGCCAGGAGTGATGGTACATGACTGTAATCCCAGCTACTCTGTGGTGATGGGAGGATGGAGGTTCAAGGCCAGCCTGGGAAAAAGTTAGACCCCTATCTCAACAAATAAGCAGGTAGTGTTATACACCTGTAATCCCAGCTACATGGGAGGTGTAGGTAGGGGGACTGCTGTCTGAGCCAGCCCTCATCAAAAAGCATGAGACTCTGGCTGGGCGCTGGTGGCTCACGCCTGTAGTCTTAGCAACTCAGGAGGCAGACATCAAGAGGATCACAGTTTGAAGGCAGCCTGGGCAAACAGTTCATGAGACCCTATCTCGAAAAAACCCATCACAAAAAAAGTGGCTTGAGTGACTCAAGGTGCAGGACCTGAGTTCAAGCCCCAGTCCTACAAAAAATAATAATAATAAATGTAGGCTTTCTTAGCATTCACAGATTTTTAACCATTGACTAATAGTAATGATTTTTGTGAACTCTGTTTTGGGGGTGATTAATTCATAACTTCAGAGGCAAACAGGTTCTTAGCACTTTACAAAAAGACAAAACCAATACGAAAAGCAAAGAATAAACTAGGTTAAAATAAAAAGCATAATACAAAGAAAGGAATAGATTTCTGTCTAGAGTGGATTGTTGTCAGCACACCATTTCTAAATTTTTGTTCCCTCTTAATCTCTTTTTGCTGGGCTTTTCTGTGGCAACAAATCTCTTGCTCATGTGTATCTATCCAGCAATGATCTAGGACTCTGAACACAGTAAATATTCAAGGAGTATTATTTTCCCACAGCTTGGAACATCGCCCCTCCACCTTGCAGCCCAGTATGGTCATTATTCCACAGCAGAAGTGCTCCTTCGAGCAGGCGTTAGCAGGGATGCCAGGACCAAAGTGGACAGAACTCCTTTACATATGGCTGCAGCTGATGGACATGCACACATCGTGGAACTGCTTGTTAGGGTAAAGCAAGAAGAGTGATGGGGCTATGTTGTAAAAAAGATATCCACCTCCCCATTTTCTTAAATAGTGGTAGGACAGTGGGCTGGGAAAGAGTAAGTGTTAGATGGTTTACAGAATTGAGTTGCATCTCTTTGAAGAGCTATCATGGTTATGAAAAGTTTGTTTTCTAATTTTTTTAAGGCTATACAGATTTTATTGATTTTTCTTCATTCCTTTCTTGCAGGTGTTCTCTGTGCTTATGCCTGTTTTTTCAGGCACTCAGCTCTCTGCTAATAAATGCAACAAAAATCTGTTCTTTCCCCTTCCTCTCCCATCTGGTATAATTTCCCAGTTATGTCCTTAGAAGACCCACTCATTGAAAGCATAATGTCTGTCAGCACTCAGGAGAATTTGAGAATGTTTTTCCCTTTAATATTCCTTAAACATGATCTAAATTTAAGTATGTGTGATCTCTGTGGAAATCCTCTGTAATTGGTAATGGGATCTTGTACCTGTGCTACTGTAACCAATGTCTGTTGAAAAGTTGCTTTTCTATAATAGAATGGTGCAGATGTGAATGCCAAGGACATGCTGAAGATGACAGCTTTACATTGGGCTACAGAGCACCACCATCGAGATGTTGTAGAGCTACTTATCAAATACGGAGCTGATGTCCATGCTTTCAGCAAATTTGATAAATCTCCCTTTGACATAGCCCTGGAGAAAAACAATGCTGAGATTTTGGTTATCCTCCAGGTACTTTTTTTGTTTATTTATTTTTGCTTGTTTTGTTTTGGTACTTCCTAGAATATACCTCAACTTAAGTTAAACATTTTTTTTGTGTCAGGTGTTAATGGCTCACTTCTGTAATCCTAGTTGCCTGGAAGGTAGAAATCAGGAATATCATGGTTCAAGGCCAGCCCAAGGAAAAAGCAAGACCCTAACTCAAAAATACCCAGTATAAAAAAAGGACTTAAGAGGTAGAGCACCTGCCTAGCAAACATGGGACCCTGAGTTCAAACCCCAGTGCCACCAAAAACAAAAAGATGATTCTGTCCACTAATTTCTTTTTTTTTTTAATTTTTATTTTATTCATATGTGCTGTCCACTAATTTCTTAAAAAGCACTTCTGGGCTGCAGGCATGGCTCAAGAACCCTAAATGCAAACCTAATACCACCAAAAATAAATAAATAATTAAATAAATAAAAATTAATGAAAGCTATCACTTGTATCTTAGGGAACAATAGGATAGGAGATACAGAAATTAATAGGATATAGCCTTGCCCTTGGAGTGTTCACATCATGTTCACATCATGTTAAAAGTAAAGACAAGGTGCTGGGTGTGGTGACTCATGCTTATAATCACAGCTAGCAGAAGCCAGAGATCAAGGCCAGCCCAGGCAAAAGGTTATCCAGGCATAGTGGCTCATGCCTATGGTTCCAGCTACTCAGAAGTCCATGAGTAAGAGGATCACAGTCCAGGCAGCCCATGTAAGCAATAACCTAAAGCAAAAAGGGCTAGAGTACAAGTGCTCTGCTACTTGTACTGTAGGCACAAGTAGCAGAGCACTTGCCTAGTATGTGCAAGGCCCTGAGTTTAAACCCCACTACATCCAAACAGGAAAAGTAAAGACGGGAAATAAAACATTACTATTGCTATATTATTAATAGAGATCTAGCAAGTATTATGGGAGCACAGTGGAGTATTAATGATGCTTAAAGGAAGGATTAAAGTATATCTAGAATTTGAACTAGAAGAAGTAAGTGGGAAAATTATGTTCTAAGCTACAAAAGGAGCAAATCAAATACATTAGAAGTGTGAAAGAACATGGAATGTTCAGGAAAGATAATTATGTGACTAGAGAATGGGCAAAGGAAGTGGAGTTTGGGCATAGCAAATGAAAGTTAAGCTGGGTATTGCAAAACTGGTCTTGAACTTGGGATTTTCCTGTCTCAGCCTCCCAAGTGCTGGGATTATAGACATATACCACCATACCCCCCCCACACACTTCAATAGAAGCTTTTAAATAGAGGATTGGCAAGATTATATTTGTTCTTTAAAAATGATTGTTTGGAGTATGGCACACAGATTGAAGAGAGAAGACAATGCTAAATAACCATATGGTGACTTTCATTAGGCCAGGCAAGCACCAGTAAGAGCTTCAACCAAGGAAGTGATGGTGGAGGATAGAAAAAAGGGCAGATTGAAGAAGGAATGTAACAGTATCTAGAAAATGAATAATCTGTTTCAATTGAAGTTCTTAGTTGAGGGATAATTGCATATGAAAAACAGCCATTTCTGCTGCATTTTCAGTTTTGTTTTTCCTGACAGATGGTTTCCCAAAGGCTGGTTATTCTTTTCAACTTTCAATTATTGTTTAGAGCCCTTTATATCTGGACTTTTTTAATAGTGATCATGTCTGTAGAAAACTTCTGAAAGTAAAATTAACTAAATAAAATAAAGATAAGCATCTTTTTATCAAAACTGAGCAAATATCCCTGGAAACAAAAGTGAAGCATCTGGAACTAGACCGTAAAATCTGGCACTCATTTATTTGCTCATTATATATTCTCTTAGGAACTTCCTCAGTGGCAGAATGGAACAAGTAGTTGGACAAAACTCCAGAGAATATTTTTCTCTGCAGGGATCTCCTTCTAGCACATTGACTTGTAGATAGTTGATCATAGACTATTAACACTGTAAATTACTTTTTAGGCTATTCAGACCAATACTCTCATTTTTCAAGTTAAAAACAAAACAAAACAAGATCCAGAGAGGCTAAGTGAATTATCTAAAAGTGTTTGCAAATAATATGCCTTTGCTTTACTTAAATAGAAACAAGCTTGGGAAAGCAACCTAACACCTCTGTTGCTCTGATTTGAAAAAAATAATAGTCTTAATGAGAACTCTGCACTCTCTGGAACATTGTGTGTCAGAACTAGTTCACCTTGATAGATCATTGGAGGAGGATGGGTAATGCCGTCAGTAACTGTATAACTAAAGCTAATGAGTGTTCTTCTGCCTTGCTTGGTAGGAAGCAATGCAGAGTCAGGTGAATGCTCATCCAGAGAGAGCCAATCCTGTGACTAACCCTGTGACTATGGCTGCTCCGTTCATCTTCACCTCGGGAGAGGTTGTTAACCTCGCTAGCCTTGTTTCTTCAACCAACACCAAAACAACCTCAGGTAATGTTCTGATGACGTGGCATTTAGTTTAAACTTAAAAATGAACAAAATCCCAAATTTTCCTAGAGATGAATGAATAATCCTGTGTGATAACCCATTCCTCTATTAAAAATATTTTCCCCAGACAGTGCTGGGATTAAAGGTCAGAGGTAGAGCACTTACCTAGTATATGTGAGGCCTTGGGTTCAATCCTTAGCACTGAAAAAAAATCAATCAAAAGATTTAAAATAGCTTTCTTCTTTTTTTTTTTTTTTTTTGGTGGGCCTGGGGCTTGAACTCGGGGCTTCCCATTGCAAAGCAGACATTCTACTGCTTCAGCCGTGATTCCAGTCCATTTTGCTCTGGTCATTTTGACTATTTTTTAAAAAAATTATTTATTTGACAATATTGGGGCTTGAATTCAGGGCCTCCTGCTTGCTAGGCAGGCATTCTACCACTTGAGCCACCCCACCAGGTGCTCTGGTTATTTGGAGATGGGGTCTTGAATACTATTTACCTGGGCTAGCTCTGAACCACAGTTCTCCCAGTTTCACCCTTCCAAGTAGCTAGAATTTACAGGCATGAGCCATTGGCACCTAGCCTATAATATCTTTTTTTAAATTTTCTTTTATTGTTTTATTATTCATATATGCATACAAGGCTTGGGTCATTTCTATAATATCTTTTAAAGCTTAATTTAATAAGAATAGCTTATTCTTTCTGGAGAAAGGGAAGATCATTCATAAGGATTATACATAAATACTTAAAACTGATTTAGAGATTTATCTATTGAAAGGCTATGCCTACTGGGTATTGGGGGGGGAGAGGGAGGGGACGGAGTGGGTGGTAGGGGAGGGGGTGGGGGCAGGGGGGAGAAATGAACCAAGCCTTGTATGCACATATGAATAATAAAAGAAAAATAAATAAATAAATAAAAATGTGAAAAAAAAAAAAAAAGAAAGGCTATGTCTAACCCCAAAATGAAGATATAAGGGTGCTTCAGTGTGGTACTGCCAAGGGAAATAGTTAAAACATTCTTAATCTAAAGCAGTAACAAAGCAAAATTTAAAAAGTGACTGATAAAAAAGAGGTATGTATGATTATCTGAATAAAGTACACTTGATTTTTTTTTTTTTTTTTTTTGGTAGTACTCGGGTTTGAATTCAGGGCCTCAGCCTTGCTAGGCAGGCACTATCCCACTTGAGCCACACTACCAGCCCTTTTATGTGTTGGATATTTTGGAGATAGGCTCTCTTGAACTATTTGCCTGGGCTGACTTTGAACCTCAATCTTCCTGATATCTGCCTCCTCAGTAGTAGGATTATAGGCGTGAGCCACCAGCACCTGGCTTGACTTGTTCTTGTTTTGTTTTGTGGATTGGGGTTTGAATTTGGGGCCTACACCTTGAGCCACTCCACCAGCCCTTTTTTGTGAAGGATTTTTTTAAGATTGGGTCTCTCAAAATACTACGCCTGGCTGGCTTTGAACCACAAATGTCCTGATCGCTGCCTCCTGGGTACCTAGGATTACAGGCGTGAGCTACCAGCACCTGGCTTTGATTTGTTCTTGAGAGCAAATGTTTTCTAAAAAAAAGAGAAAAGTACATGGTGTTGATCTTTTGAGACCTGTTTAGTTTTTGCTGTGTATGTGCATGTGGGGGGTAATTGGGGTTTGAACTCAGGGCCTTGTATTTGCTAGGCAGGGGCTCTGTCACTTGAACCACTCTGCCAGCCCCTTTTTGTCTTGTATTTTCTAGATAAGGTCTCAAGAACTTTTTGCCTGGGCTGGTTTCAAACTGAGATCCTCCTATCTATGCCTCCTGAGTAATTAGGATTATGAGTGTGAGCCGAGCCGTTGGTGCCAGGCTTGAGACCTGTATAGTTTTTTTGTTGTTGTTTGTTTTGTGGGTTTTTGTTTTTTTTTTTTTTTTAGATTTTTGAGCCAGAGTCTCACTATCTATCTCAGTCTGGCCTTAAACTCAAGATCCTACTGCTTCTTCCTCCCTAGTACTGGGATTACAAGTGCACACAACCACACATGGCCAGACACCTGCTTGCTTTAAACAAAAAAATGTTCATCTAAAGAGGAGCAAATGAGTTTATTTTCAGCATCTCATTTTTCATATATTTGTTTCAAGATGGAGGGGCTTATATCATTAAATAAGTTTTCCAATTATTGGTTTCATTTTCTGCTTCTGACCTTCATTTAAAAACAAATAACTAGGGCTGGTGGAGTGCCTGCATAGCAAGCTCCAGGCCCTGATTTCAAACACAATACCACCAAAACCAAAACAAAACAAAAAAACAACAGCCCCCGGGCACCGCTGGGTCATTCCTGTAATCCTAGCTACTCAGGAGGCAGAGATCAGAAGATTGAGGTTCGAAGCCAGCCCAGGCAAATAGTTCCTCAAGACCCTATCTCAAAAAACCCTTCACAAAAATAGGGCTGGTGGAATGGCTCAAGGTACACCTTGTACTGTGGTACAAGCCCTCAGTACCACAAAAAAAAATAAATAAATAACCAACTGTAATCCTAGCTACTTGGGAGGCTGGGTAAATAGTTCAAAAAATCCCATCTCCAAAATAACCAGAGCAAAATGGCCTAGAGGTATGGCTCAAGTGGTAGAGTGCCTGTAAGTGTGAAGCTGTAAGTTCAAACTCCATACCATCAAAACAAAAAAATAAAGAGAACTCATCTTTTTTTTTTTTTCCTCTTTCTTTTTTTTTTTCAGTACTGGAGTTTGAACTCAGGGCCTTAAGCTTGCTAGGCAGATACTCTACCACTTGAGCCTTCTTGAATGAGGTATTACTATTATTGAAAGGCAGTGTGGTAAAACAGAAGCATGTACATAATACAGAATTTTGGACTCAAGACTATGTTGAAATATTTATTGACTACTTCCTTGACTTAAAGGAAACTACTTCTCTAAGCTGTGTTTGTTCATCTGTAAAACTGGAATATAATAATACCTACTTTATGAGGTGGTGGTTGAGATTTTGTATTTAAGGGTACATTTTATAATAACATTCCATAATAGCTATTAACTGAAAATATAGGGCTGGGCATGGTGATGAATACCTGAAATCCCAGCACTTGAGAGGTGGAAGCTGGAGGATGCAACAAGTTTGAAGCCAGCCTGGGCTAGATAGTGCATTTGAGGCCCACCTGGGCTACATAAGTGAGACTGTCTCAACAAAAAAAAAAAAACAGGGCTGGGCATCTAGCTTAGTGGTAGAGCATTGCTTAGCATGCTCAAAACCTTGGGTTGGATCCCCAGCTCCGCAAAAAAAAAAATGTAAAAAAATAAAACTTTCAGGAAGGGTGACTGTGCCATGCCCACAAGGGGGCAATAGTGACCTTCATTTTATAGGCTGTCAATTTTTTTTTTTTTTGCGCTACTGGGATTTGAACTCAGGGCCTACGCTTGAGCCTCTGCACCAGTCCTTTTTTGTGATAGATTTTTTTCAAGATAGGGTCTCTCAAACTATTTGCCCTGGCTGGCTTTGAACCTCAATCCTCCTGATCTCTTGCCCCTTGAGTAGCTAGGATTACAGGCATGAGCCATCCTAGGCTGTCAATATTTAAAATCATTTTGCTTTCAACTAAATGATTCAAAAAAAAATGTAGCTTACATATACTTGTACAAGTAATTAGAACATTTGTAACCTTTTAAAATTTGTAGTGATTTGGGTTATACTGTTTAGAAAGAAGGAATTTTATAATCTAAAAGTCTTTAGAAGCCAATAGTTATGTGTTCACAAATGTGAAAAGAGCTAAAGTTAGTCTTTAATCAAACTTCTGAAGTTCTCCATATCTGGATCTGGCTCAATAAGCAAAAGCTGAACACATTCAGGATAGAGATTCATTGCTTTGGTTCCCTTGGGCCAATATTGTGTTTGTCATATAGCTGTTGGCAGACATATTCCTTTTTCTGTGTTGACAACTACAAATTGAAATTGCTAAGCCATCACATAATAGAACGGACTAACTCATGCAGGTCCATTTTACTGTTGAAGCAGTTCTTCCTAGCTATCTCTTTATCTCATTGGCCTGTCCAATGTTTAATCAGTGCAGATAAAAGGGAAAAGTTACAAAAATTCATGTTGTGTGTTATTCAATTACTTTAAAGGGTTTTCTTTTCTGGAATAGTGGGCTTCTGGTTTCTCACATACAGTAGTATTTTTATTTGCTGTATTGGGTTTGAACTCAGGGCCTCATACTCCAGTAGTATTAAAAAAAAACCAAAAAACTAGCTGGATCTGGTGGCACATACCAGTAATCCCAGCACTTGGGAGGCTGAAGTGAGAGGATCAAGAGTTTAAGCAGGGTGCTGGTGGCTCATGCCTGTAATCCTAGCTACTCAGGACACAGAGTTCAGCGCCAGTGTGGGCAAATAGTTTCTCGAGACCCTATCTCAAAGAAACCCATCACAAAAATGGGCTGGCAGAGTGGCTTAAGGTGTAGACCCTGAATTCAAGTCCCAGTACAGGGTACTATATTGAGACCCTGTCTCAAAAAGCAATTAACTGAAAAGTGTCATGGGATTATCATTTTAGTGGATTGTGGTGTGTGTGGTGGGGGGAGATGTTGAGACTGGGTCTCACTTTTTAGCCCACTGCACCCAGGTAGTGAATATTTTTTATACGAAAATCCACATTGCAGAGTTTTCTTTCAAACTTTCTATTTGTGATTAAGGGTATTACCAGTGCCACCATTAAACCACAGGGATTTGGGAGGGCAAACTAATTTTAACATTAATGAGGGAAAAACACAGTAATAAAGATGATTTTCCTGTTTCTGTACAACCATAACATTCGTTCTGAAATCAGATATCAGTAGTTTTGTGGTTTGAAACCAGATGAGTTAGGTTCTGATCTGGGCTCTGATACTAGCTGTATGACCTTATCCAAGTTACTTCGTTTCTCAGGTTCTAGTTTTCATTAACTCCTTCAGATAGTCTAGCCTACCATAACATATCCTCCTAAATCCTGGTCTGAAGAGCTTATTTATATAAATCGTGT